CAAACTACCGTCGATCAATTTACCGTCGACGAAATTTCTTTCGATCAAATTTCCGGTAACCCAACCTATAACTTTTATGGGGAGGTTGGGCGACCGGGGACGCAGATGGAAGATATCGGAGGCGCCGCAGGCTCAATAGTAAAAATGGGGAGGAGAGGAAGAGTGGACAGCGGAGTTCAGTGCTTCCAAGAAAATGTTTGATTAATTTCAAATTAAATGGATGCACTTAGGCGCCTACCTGAATTTAGTTGTTCATCGTTCTTCGCTTAATCGTAGAGCAACAGAGGATTTGTTAGTGGAAAATTATTTCAGCAACGTAGCATTAATTACCTTTTCACTGCCCTAAAAATACATTTCAACTTCAGATGATGATAATCCATGTGACACATTATTTTATATGGTAAAGACTTTCAATTATAATAGTACTAAAGTTAATGGATTTGTGTGTGTGTGTGAAAATTGTTCAACGGAATTTTTTCAAAATGAAATTTGTTAGAATGGAAACGGTAACGTATCGGGAATGACTATATGTCAGTGATAAGAAAGGTTCAAAGTTCCTTAATTGTTCGCACAGTTGCACTTTAGCAACTTTAGAGGGGAAGGGAAGAGGGTGGTATTTTCTTTTTTAAATGAGGCATTTTTGGTCAATTTAATATACTTTTAAATGATTTATATTTGATGTGTATTCTGTTTGTTCTGTCATTTCGTGAATTACGGGCAGCAAACTCAAAGACCGCCCCCCACAAGGCGTCACAATTTCGAGCAACTGCAATGCTTTTTTTTTCCCGACAGAAATCAGAAAGATCTGCACATGGAATGAATGTGCGACAGATGGAAAGAGATCAAGTGTATAGAAAGAAATCGTTCATCTAAATATGAAAATATTGGTGTTTTTTTGGGTTTTATTTTTGCCCCCCCCCCCCCATTATGTCCTATTTCACTTGTTTTAATGTGCTGGCATGCGTGCTGCCACGAAACCTTCAGCTAACACGGCCGACAGCTGACTTCCGGAGATTCATCTAAATATGAAAATATTTGTGTTTTTTTGGGTTTTTTTTTTGCCCCCCCCCCCCCATTATGTCCTATTTCACTTGTTTTAATGTGCTGGCATGCGTGCTGCCACGAAACCTTCAGCTAACACGGCCGACAGCTGACTTCCGGAGGATTCCCGACTCATGAAACACATCAACGTCAAAGTTATAGTGGAGCAGTAGTTATTGCCGGCCAAACAGAATTTGGTCCCATCAGAAAGGTGCCACCTTTTCACTTTTCTTTTTTAAAAAATATATATTTAAAACAATAATAAAAAGATTCTGAAAGGAAAAAAAAAAGATTGCTACAAATAAAAAAAGTCATCTTCAGGACCAAAAAGGAACCTGATGCAATAAATAAGCTTTAAATAATTTTGCAACAAAGTCTTTTTGGATGTCATTCTTTGATTTCATAAAAATTACATATTATAGCTACAACCAGGTTTTTGGGGGATTTCAGTTGGAATATTTACTTTGATATTCCGTGATCTAATCCCAGCTTGTAAGACTAAAGCAGCATTTCCTATGTTGGCTTATCTCTTTAGACTTCGAAACTGGAGACTAGGGTGAACCGTTAATTCGGCCCAAGACAAAACGCCCCCCCCCCCTTACAAATCTTTCTGACGATTCGGCCCCGACTAATCAGGCCCGACCTTGAAACCCCGGCAAAGGGGCCCCGTATCATCAGCTCCGACCAAAGGGCCCCGACAATTTAGCCTTAACATTATCGTCCCCGACGAAAAGGCCCCCGTCAGTACGGCCCCGACAAAAAAAATCTTCGTCATTAAGGCCCTGAAAAATGGGACCCATCAATACGGTCACCAGCATAAGGGCTTACTTGAAAAAAAAATACCTACCACTTTTGATGTGACAGATTGTTCAAAAGCAACTAGTTTTAGATCTATGAACTAGTTAAAATATTGACTGATATTTAGTCAACAAATGTTACATTGCAACAGCTGTGATGTGTTATGGTTGCATTTTAGCTAATGGTTTAATTGTGGTTTAATCTTAGGTACTGGCTAGATTAAGTATATACTTTTGTAATAATGATTGCAAATAAAATGCCGTTGAATTATTAAGGTTCTATTTATAGTTCTGTTTATTGGGACAAAATGGGACATGATAATTGATGAACAAAACAGTTCTATATAATATTTTGTATTTTGATCAGACGCTATTACAGGCCACGTCATCATATTAAAAAGGTTACATTTCATTAAACTCTGAATGTAATTGTTGGCGAATTACAAAGTAATAGTAAGAAATTACAATATTGAGGAGGACTTACCATACACGTGGTGGAGAGGGGGTGAGGGAGGAATTGTTAACGTGTCGTTAAAGAAAACGGATCAAGTTAAAAAAAAATACTAGATAAAATAATAACAACATACAAAATGGGGCACCTTCCCAAACCTTCTTGAAACCCTGGATGATGCAGCTATAAAAGTCATTTTGTCTGTTTTCCTTCTGTCGTGGGCCCAGTTGTTGGGCGCACGTTTGACTGGGGCCTTTTGGTTGGGGGGGGGGGGCTTATAGATGGGGGCCCTTTCGTCGCGGGTCGGTTTCTCGGGGTCAAATTGTCACGGGCCGTTTCGACGCGACACGGGAGGCAGGCAAACAGCCATTTCAATAATAATGTAGTCACCACAGTGGCTAAGCTAGCTGCAATGCCGCCTGGGGCGCACCAAGATTTTTGCCGCCCCCTTCAAGAAAAAACGGCCGAAAATGCCGCCTTTCCATATAACTAAAAAAAAAGTGCGTGCCTCTCTCTATCTGGTGCTGTTTGGGGGTGGGAAAGTTTTAGGGGGTGTCACCAGGCTATCCAGAACTAACTACATTCAATGAATCTTGATATTACCCAGAATCCAACATGCACATTTTTTTAAAAAAAGGGCAACATTTTCCTCATCCGTTTGTTTGGTGATATTAAAGAAGGGCACATACAGAAGTCAACGACAAAGATACTTATGATGGCTTTAGGGGAGAGCAGCTAAGAAATGGAATGAATGCACTGATATTGATGATGATGGGTTTCTAATAAATCCACAAGTTCATCCTTGATACTTCTGCCTTTCTGGGATTATTGCCCCCCCCCCCCCAATAGACAACTATAGTGTTATAAAATTGCATCAAACATTTAATTATTAAGGGTCTTTAAGAGTCTCTCCGCGTAGCGTAGACCAGAGGTTAGTTATCTATAGTACAGAGGCGTAGACCAGAGGTCCGAAACCTGTGGTACAGTGGCGTAGACCAGAGGGCGGCAATCTGCGGTACAGTGGCGTAGACCAGAGGTCGGAAACCTGAGGTACGGTGGCGTAGACCAGAGATTGGAAACCTGTGGTACGGTGGCGTAGACCAGAGGTCGGAAACCTGAGGTACAGTGGCGTAGACCAGAGGTCGGAAACCTAAGGTACAGTGGAGTAGACCAGAGGTCGGAAACCTGAGGTACAGTGGCGTAGACCAGAGGTCGGAAACCTAAGGTACAGTGGAGTAGACNGATGTTGTCTTCTTTGTGTCTTAAAAAGTAGACTGAACAAACAAACAAACAAAACAAAAAAATTTCAAAGAAAAAGAAAAATGCACAGGTAACCTTAAAAGGATAGGTTAACCGAAATACACGTTTTTAAGCGTCTCGAACAGATTTTGTTCAATGCTGCAAAACTGTAGCATCACATTAAAAAATATTTAACTTGTATTTACGACTGAGGTAAATATAGACCATCGCGACAAAGGTCTCTTTGGAAATGTCTGTGAAGATTTTTTTTAACTCGTATGAGCTGCGGGAAAGGAAGGGGGGGGTGTAAGAAAGTGTGACAGTTTTTGGCAGGGGGAAGGGGGTCAGGCAATGTGTGACGTCACATATTTATTAAAAACAAATATTTATAATTTATTTTTTATTTGTTTAGTGGAGTTTAATAGTTTTAAAAATAATTTTCAAAAATTTTGTGTATCTTTTGAATTAGTTTTATGTCAAAATAGCATGAAAGGCGATCTTCTGAATGTGTTGTTTACGATTCCTCTCGCTAGGAGCGCTAGTATGCTGTTGCGAAGCCTTCTTTTATGTGTAACCTTGCTTCCGTCTTTTCTGAAGTATTATTATTTCTATGTCGTTGTCCGCTGCATAATCATGTTACTGTCCTTTTTATTATTTAATCATTTGGTGAGGCCAAGTTTCTCTAATATACTTTTTAACCTGCGTAAAAAGATTGAATAATCGGAAGATTATCTAAAACTTGACCTCACCTACTTTAAATGAAAAAGCAGCAGATACATGATGTGTATTATTTAATTGTCTAGTCTAATTTTTGCAATTTTTGTTTTCAAATTCAATCTAGATTGAGTTACTGCTTCAATGAATAACTGTGACAACTGTTGACAATTAACTATTCTACTATTAAAATCATTTTAATAATGTGATAGTGGAAATTAAGGCGAAATTTTATATTTTAAAACAGTTTAATGGTGAAGTGTGTTTTAGATTAAATTTTAATTAGGTGTTAATTTTTAAAAAAAATTGTACGAAAGTGTGACGTACTTAAGGGGGGGGGGGGGGGTCCGAGCTTTGTGACAGTTTGTGACGGGGGGAGGGGCGGTTAAAAATGGTCAAAAATAGAGTGACGTACTTTATGGACGGCCCCATAGTCAAAGGTGTTAATTTTTAAAAAAAATTGTACGAAAGTGTGACGTACTTAAGGGGGGGGGGGGAGGTCCGAGCTTTGTGACAGTTTTTGACGGGGGGAGGGGCGGTTAAAAATGGTCAAAAATAGAGTGACGTACTTTATGGACGGCCCCATAGTCAACACACACACACACATAATGGTAATTGAAAAAAATCTTTTGATGTGAAAGAAAACGAGCTATCATTTTTCATTTTAAGTTAGAAATATTATTATAGTTTAAACAAAAACAAACAAAAATATTAAAAAAAAAAAATATAGGCTCAAAAGGAACGTATTACACCGTAATCGGATATTTCCGTATAATCTTCTTTCAGTTTCAGATTCCACAAACGCATCCCTCCTCAGAAATTTGTTTTATGCAAGTCTGGGAGCTGGATGTTACTTTATTTTAGTATGTAACGTCTTTAATGTTCAACTTTAAAGTTCAAGAAAAATGTGACCACTCAACGCCAACAACTATTTTTTAATTCTAATAATTTCTTGGCCGCCTTCTAAATTTCTACAATTTTAATTTTAATATGCAGTTTTAGTATTAGCCTGGGCTTGTGATAGTGGTAGTGTTTTCCTTTGTCCAATTAATTGTGAAATTTCTATTTTTCATTATATAATATTATCAATATTATCATATATCATTTATTTTACCCACATTGTAATTGTAAATTTATATATTAATGCATTATATACTATACTATATGCTCCTAAGCATAATTTACAGTACAGTATCATGTCATGAATCAATGAATATGAATGCAGAGGCAAACTGGCTGAACTTTGGCAGTAAATTTTAATGTCTTGATATTACATTGTTAATATCATCAAAGTGTAAATTAGTCTGTTGAACGCCCTGCTTATACTCATACAAATATTATAAAATACACAAATTCATATACTTATATTTTAGTTTATTTGAAATATTTCCAAACTTCATTTTCAATTAAGAATCACTGTTGACTAATGGCAAGTTGGCATACAGATTTTGTAATACTTCATTTAACTTCCATTCACTCTCAGAACTGATAAAATGGACAGCCCTGGGTCATCTGATTTGAGTGGAGATATACACATAGCTCCATGTGAAAGAGAATCACACATGAAATGGATACATGATTTGAAACAAGCATTTGAAGAAAAAGGGTTAAAATGTGTTATTGTTTACAAGCATTGTAAGTAGTATAATTTCCAACATCTGCTTTATGATATTTTTATTAATTGATCATCAAATGTCTTAAACCTGTTTATTTTATTGATGATCAAAAATTTAAATGCATTCATAATTTATTTTAATATTAAAAGACTATATATAATTAAGATAAATTAAAGCTACAAGTCATAGTGTAACATTTATTAAGATCAAAACCAATTGGTTCTGATTTTTAGCTTTCTCTATTACAGAATATATTTGAAAAATGTGATGTATTCTTTGACATTTAATTTTATGATTTATTCAGAATTCTGTATTTATTTGTAATTCATTCGCAAGATTACATCTATATGCTTTTCTCAGTTACCTTATCTTCACAGAATGTGAGAAACTTGTTTGATAAAATACTGTAGCTTACTTTATTTAATGAAACTACTACATGAACCATATTTGTTGTGATATTAAGGGCAGATACTGTTATTCACTGTTTATTTATGAACTTTGACAAGTAGCTTGTTTTTTAATATCATATGTGAAAACAAAGTCAGAAAAAGTAAGTAGTGTTTATTTAATGTTTTGCAGATGGAAAAATTTCAAAATGGTTTGAAGAAGCCTTCAATAATTGTCGATTTACAATTGTTCATAGATGTCGAAAACTTGTGCAGGCTGTAAGTTATTTTGCTTTTATTACATTGTTTACTTATTTATTTTTATAACATAGTCACGAGTTCCTGTCTTATTTCATTGCTGTATTAGTGGTAATTCAGTTGCTGACACTATGAAGGTTTTTTTTAAAAATCAAATTTATTTAGTCTCTAAACAAGAAAAGAAAATCCCTTTCAGATAAATTTATTTACAGCTAATTAACTTTTGTAACATGTTCCTTGAGACATTGGTTTTTATTTTTCTTTGTTTCAATAGATTGAATCATGCCAAGGTCTCATGTCAGAAAATGGTGACAAGGTCATGGTAGTAGACTTTAATGTCCGGGGTAAGAAAAAAAGTGATGACAACCTTTATACATTTTTTAATGAATACACTAAAAATGTAATAAAAGATGAGAAGGATTTGCAGGTTTTTGTGAAAAAGACAAGCAACATCTTAAAGGAGCTGAGTCCAGTGATCAATAAAATGAATCAGATCCCAAGTATTACTGGCCAGGATGAGAGCCAAGGTCCACTCAGTCCAGTTAGGAGTGAAGTCAGCCTGACAGATGTAAGCTTCTTGTTGTTACATGATGGTTTAGATTGTCTCTGATATAAATTTCAAATAAATTTTGGCAACAAAACTGATTACATTATAAAACATACATATCTAATTATTCTTAAACAACACCTTATGTTTTCATCCACATATAACATCCATTTTTAACAACATCCATATATACATGCTTCCTTGTAAAATATAGATATATTCCTCTGTATAAAACTTCTATTTATAAATCAATATATCTTGTCAACTTTAAAAAAAAAAAATCTGATGTGAAAAGGAATGGACAGACAGGTGAATGTTACAGGAAACTACTTTGTTAATTTGTACAGGGGAGAGAACGCAGCCTTGTGGCGCTCCAGTGCTTATCTCTCTGGTTAGCGATAATTGGTCATTTACCTTGACATATTGAGGGCAATTTGTTAAAAAGTTCAGTATCCAAGCTGGAATATTTAAATTTACACCTAACGAGGAAAGTTTCTTTATTCCAATTCGTGTAATTTACATGGTATCTAATTGCAGTTGATAAAATTTGGTAATAATTTTTTATGATATTTTGATATGATATTTTAACAGGAGTCTCAAATTGACGAGGGCGGCCTAAGAAAATACCCAGACATATTTGGTGATACAGGGACCACCCACGTTATTGTCAGAGAGAGCTTTTTTGCATTAAAAGATGCATCCAAATGTAAGATTAAATTAAAAATCAGTGGCAATGTTGCTAATACGTATATTCAATTTACATATGTGGATTTTTGTGGGTTCTTGAGACCACCAGGAGAAAAATAAAGAAATGTATGTTTTCTTATGGGCAAGTTAAGCTCAGATGAAAATTTAAACAAATACTGACAGTTAAGTGGAACTGTCCAAAATGTTCTTATATGCATATTACTCTTGAGTTTTTAAGAAAATGTTATTTGTATTAATGTTCCAAAGAACATTTTGCAGCATTTTGTTTAAAATCTTGTGTAACTTTTGGGGTAAAAATGCTTGTAAAATGGAAAGGGAGAGCACCTTCTCTGGGAAGTTGGTGGCCTTTCTACAGCCAAGGGGACAGCAGTGAGAAACAATTTAGGAAACAGTGTGATGTTGAGGATGCTTTTCTTTTCTCATCAATCAACATGAGACTTTTCTTTACACACCAATCAACATGAGACTTTTCTTTACACATCAATCAACATGAGACTTTTCTTTACACACCAATCAACATGAGACTTCTTTTCACATCAATCACCATGAGACTTTTCTTTTCACATCAATCACCATGAGACTTTTCTTTACACATCAATCAACATGAGACTTTTCTTTCCACATCAATCAACATGAGACTTTTCCTTTTACATAAATCAACTTTAAACTTTTTTTCTCTTTATTTTTCTGTCAGATGATGATTCTAAGCATTTGTATGAAATTTGCAGTTCAAAAGAGAGTTGGTTGATGATGGAATTGCAACTTTTAATTCACAAGGTTTGAAAAAAATCTTCATTCGAAGAAATAATATGTTACTTTAAAATTTAATCTGAACCCTCTGTTAATGTTTATGTTGAAATTAAAACATGATGAATATTTCCAGGGGCACTTGATTTTTTTTTTTTTTTTGGTCCAGGTGATACCTAAAAAGTACAAGGAAGAAAGAGCTCTTGATTTAGTCATCCTGGCAGTGTGTAACGAAGATGTTGTTGGCCAGAGAGCTGCAGTCATGCTTGAACTTTTATTGTTAACTTCACCACATCAAAAGTTCTCACACAATGTTTTTGTATGTTTTAAAGAGTTAATTTTATCAATATTTGAAATTTTGCAGTCAGACTATATCTGCTTAATTTCAGTTGGTCTGTCTAGAGAAGACCTTAAAAAATGCTTGATGGAACAATTACAAAAATGTGGTCCATGTGTCCAGTTTTATTTATATATATTATTATTAAACTAATATAATGTGTGACACTAAAATAAAATAAAATATTAAAAATTGAATAAACATTTCAATGCAAGTATATGCTTTTCAATACATTTTTGTTGCAAATGAAACTTTTTATATTCGCTGTAATAAAAATATATTGGCCTGTTTTAGATTATCATTGAGAGTGTACTTTATGAAGCACTGAGTGACCTGCGTGCAAGGAAAGATGCAACAAAAAAGGCAAGAGCGAAGCAACTTACAAATCTTTACATAATCACAATCTGTGAATGGATCTCAAGCTGTCAGGACACAAGTCAAATTAATATTTGTGATATGCATATGAGGACTTCAGTGGCGTACGTTAAACCTCATAATTATTACATAACAAAAATAAAATGGAGTTTTATCAAATTGTATCATGCAACCTCAAATATTTTCTGGTCTAAATACTTTCTGTAAGCAATTCTGTGAGTTTTAAGATATTATAACAAATTTGAAGAAGTTTATAAAACAAATTCCTGAAGAAAAACAAAAAAATGAAATATTCCTAATAGAGTAATATAAAATAAAGTAGGGTTAAACTTGAAAAAAGTAACACAACAAAACAACAAACGTGTCGGTAGGAAGCCTTCTTCAGCAAACAAATATTGTGCTAAGCTGATTGCAGTCTCTCCCCTTATTACCCTAATGAGAGTAACTTACATTTATTTAAATTTTATTATTGCTTCCAATGCTTTATTCTTTTTTTTTAAAATGGTCTTATAATTTTTAATTCCAGTGGTCGATCTATGCCTAAGAAGGCTAATGGTGTAATTGAGGAAAGCTTTACCTACCTGGACAGCTTCTTGTCAGAATTTAAGTCAAATTGGACATGTAACTATTGGAAAAGACAAGTTGATAAACTATTCAAGATCCAAATGAATGGAGCTGAGTCTGTTAAAGAACGTGAAAAAATTGTCGGGATCTCAGTGTTGTTTGCCTACCAATGTCTGAAAAAGGTATTGGTTATTTTTATTTATTACATTTTCTGAACAAAAATATTCATAAAATTCTGAGGAGAGTTGTTATGTAAAATGTAAAAAATTTTCATTTGATTCTATTATTGTAAATTATATTTTTTAAAATTTCAAATAAAGTTAACCCTCGAACTGTGGTTGGCCGACGAAATCGGCCGACATTCTGGTTCTGTGATGTGGCAGCCGACAAATTCGGCCGTTAAAAAACACGGTCCGATAGCAATTTCCAATCCAATATTTAACCGAAATCGTAGCCATTTTCTTTTATTAATAACTAAATCAACTTCCGGGCCAAGCTGTTTCTTGATAACTTAACAATAAGTACTTTTTAATTGGAATTTTATATCAAGAAAAAAAGGAAAAATGACGGAAGCTATGGCCGGGCCTTGAGTGCGAGAACTAATAGAAATATTTTTGAATGCTTTTTAGGAGAGGATTTAAGTGATACTGACGATGATTTTAACATTCCCCATGACATCTCACTTCAGATTTTTCTTTTGGTGAATCTGACACTAGTCTTAGTGATAGTGAAGTAGGTCTACTGAGGCTACTGTTATACTTCAAGCCAGGCCTGGAGGTTGGGCAAGGACTGACTGAATTTTAGTCACACAAGCTACAGATTATAGATCAGAACTAATAAATTTTATAGTTAAACAACCCAAATCACTTCCACAGTTCCTTTTTAAATGTTTACTAGTCAATAATAACTATTTTGCCTGAGATTTTGTATTTTGTACTTGGTTTTAGCAGTGGTCCCAGTTTCTTATATAAATGACCTAAAATTACTAAAATTGCTTTCAGATGTGTAAATGCAATCAACACCGTAGCAAACTATATATTTTCTGAATTGGCTACAACATTTAGATTTGTGTTTTAAGTGTATCTATAAAAATTAATGATGTTATGAGCACTTGAAAGCAAGACATTTTGTCGATTTTGATTTTCTTGAGAACTCCAAGGTCAAGGACATGGAGCAACATTATTTTTACGGGATGGGCAAAATGGCCAACTTTATCCCCATCCATTTACCTTTCTAAAAATATATACTTATAGGGGTCTTGTATCAATATTTCTATGTCATTTAATGCAATTTCAAAAGCCACTCAAAAAGCTCTCAAAAGCTCCACACCACAGAATGATGCATGCCACAGTTCGAGGGTTAAGCAATGAGAATGTGGACTTCTAAAAAAATTAAATTCCTGTTCATCTTTCTAAGAGTGGGGATGAGGATGATTGTTGGGTAAAAAATGTCAGGAGGGGCTGCTACAGTTTCCAAACACAATTAATAAGAATATTTAAAAAGACGAAAGAGATTTATTTTAAAAGCACAACCTGAAAATCTGAACTGAACAAAGTGCTGCATGTAGCCCTCTTCTATTCAGTGCTGCATGTAGTAGCCCTCTTCTTTTCAGTGATGTTTGTGTGCTTTGTATGCTGCTAGTCCTTCTGTTTTTTCACAGGAAGGATTTACATATAAATTTACACACACATACACACACACATTTATATATTTTTTTTGGTGTTTTTTTTTGTTACAGACATTGCTTTCCAAAGATAAGAAAAACCTAGAACACTTTAATAAGCTCTTTGGGGCCTTAAGATCACAAAAGACTGCAGACAAAAATCCTTTGACAAGTCACATATTCGTACACGGCCTTGCTCTTCTGCTGTCGTTGGCATTGAGTGAGTATGTGCGGTGTTGACATAATTATTAATTATAGAGTGACCCTAGTCTTGATTTTAAAGCTAAAGTAACTATGTTCATTTTTAAAAAAAGGACTGTTCCTTATTGACTGATTAGTTCTGAAATATATATTTTAATTTTACTCAATACTTTATGTCAGGTGAGATCATTTTTTATTTATTTATCCAAACCAATTAAACTTTGGTTTTATTACACTTTACATTTCTTTTTATTTACCTTGTATAAACATACAGACAGAAAAAAAAAAAATCCTTATAAATTTAACAATTTTAACGTAAGAAATTTTCAAAGTAAATATTCAAATTTAAAGACATGACACTTCTCTGAATGATATCCACATTGACTTAAAAAAATAATTATTTGATTTTGTAACAGACATGGAGGGAAGGTTGTAAATCTTAACAGATTGGGGAACAAATGAATTTCTCGATGTCCTCATTAACAAACATAAAGGATTTGCCCTGTTCTTAAGTAACTCTAATTTAGTGAGTAGGTTTTTTTCCTACTATGTTATATAAAAAAATAATAACATTATGTTTTCATTAATTAGGAGGTATTGATCATCTTGAAGGTCTGCAAGAGCTTTGTAAAACTGGAATGGAAATGATCAATAAGTTTTCCACCGATGAAGAGAGGGTGAGACAATTTAACATGCCTATGCTCCATACACATAGGAACAAATCTTCATGAAGGATTATAAATTTGAGATAAAAAAAAAAAATTAAAAAATTATTGCATTAATGTTCCTATGTTAATTATACTATTTCAAAATAGAGGATTTTGTTGCGGAACCCAAATAAAGATTTTCAATAAATAACCTTCCCTTTTCTGAGTATTTCAAGTAGATGATAAAATGAGATAAAAAATTTTTGGGTTACATATTTTCATTAATCTCTTGTTCACTATTTGTGCCATCACAGTTGGATGATATGCAGACGATGTTGATGTTCCATAGGAACCAGAACATAAGAAACTTAGCTTTTCCAGTCACCTATGAACAAGACCAGAAGAAGCTGTTACAGGGTGAACTTCATAGGCTCTTATGCCCACTGCTCTGTGGCCCACTGCTGATAAAAGTTGACAGCGAGATGGTATTTATATTGAATTTATATAGGCCCACTGCTTATAATAGATGACAGCAAGATGGTATTTATATTGAATTTATATAGGCCCACTGCTTATAATAGATGACAGCAAGATGGTATTTATATTCATTTGATACAACTGATGTTTAAATTATCTTTTGCCATGGTAAGAAAAAAAACAATTACACTAGCTGCTATTTAAGGGGAAGAATAAATTGTATATAATTATTCGTGCCATCCGCATATTTGTTACTGAGATTCTCAGATTTATGTTACCACATGCTGACCATGCGCTGCCCACTGTAACAAAGAACATAGCCAAAAAGTTTCATTTTCATTGCTTTATTGAGAGTTGTGGTCTGTCTTTGGTTGACAACATACAGGCACCATCTTGTCATATTTATTATTAACTGCACTGCGTTTTGATCAGCTGATGGGGGTTGTTTACAAATTCAAGTTTTTAGTTATATTCAGTTGTATCCTTTCTAGTGTCTGTAGTTTGAGGATTAAAATTTGTGAAATTAATATCATTTGATTTCATTGGAATGGGGAATACATCATTAGAGAAACGACGTCTTGTTTCAAAAAATGAATGTAAAAATGTTGTTTTTTATTTTTACTTGTTTTCCCCCCTGCATGCATGGTTATTAGGAGACTCATTTTTAAAAGAAAATTTCTGAATTTATTCATTTAAAGAGCAGTCAGGTTGTTAATCGTCGTGCTTGCACAAACCATTAAAATTTGATAAATTATATATAAAAAAACTGTACAACAGCATGAAAACAAACTGTACAGGTTGGCATTTATGGTGAACACCTACGTTGGAGATGTGTGTCGGTGGATTCTCAATATGACTTCACCTCTGAGATTTGTGGCTGCAACAAATCTGCAGTGACAATGCACCTTAATGTGCGACATAAATAATTCCAGGTTATTCCAACAGCAACTTACTTAGAAGCTTTCCCCCAGTGTGTGTCTAATTCAAACTTCCTTTTTTTATAATTAGCCTAATTATTATTAGGTTGCATATTATAAATAATAATTATTATAAATTTAACACTTTATAATTTGCTGACTTCATAATTCTTGTGCAGGAGAAATTGCATTGGTGTGAGCTGACAGGGTCATTGAACAGTACAAAAGTTTTTATTCGCATGCACCTCCCACAAGAAAATGACCACAGAAAGAAAAATAAGAGCTCCTTTAGTCCGCATCAGGATGTTTACTACAATGAACTTTCACAGCTCCAAAAATTTAGCCATAAAAATATCATCCAACTTCTAGCAGTAGGAAGTTGTATTCCATATTTCTATATACTTGAGGATTTCATCTCTACTAATTTACAAGTAAGATTTCAGCGTTTAAAAAAACCTGCTATTATCAAATTAAGTTATCATTTTTTTTCCTTCTGATCCTATAGACATTTTGGAAAAAAAAACTGTTAACTTCCAAGCATTGTGGTAATTTCTTAGCTTTCTGCTTTCAGAAAGCTCTGATGCATAAAAAATCAAATTCAAATCCATTCGCACCGCACATCCTTTTGAAATTTGTTTTGGATGCATTGACCGGCTTACAATACTGCCATGATGAAGGATTCGTTCATAGAAATCTCACAGCAGAGAGCCTTTTCATAGTTGATGAAAAATTGGTTAAACTTTGCGGCTTTCACTTGTGCACTAAACTCCATAATGAATCCAGCAAACCTGATGGTAAGTTGTTTTTTTTTTTTTAATTTTAATTATGGATTGGTTCGTGTTAAATGAGGGAGCTCAATACACGAAAGATGTTGCCATGATTTCTTATAAAGCTGGCATACACTTAGTATATGAATATGAGTTATCAATAAGAGCAAAATGGTTGTTATTGTAGGTTCACAAATTTTTCATTCAGAGACTTAAAGTTTTGTCGATAGTTTCAGTTTCAAAAAGTTCCTTGTGTTTTTTTTATGTTAAAATATGGTGAGTGATTCCAGCTGGATCAAAATAAAATTTGACCTTGTGGAAAATCTAATTTAATAATTTTTAAATAATTTCAAATAACTTTTCTTGAAAACAAAACCTACCCTAGCAATAGGTCTTTATTTTTATTTTTCCATCAGCAGCTGTAGATCAATTATCTTTTTTTAATCTTGCAGATAAAACCGAGAGGTTCATTCCTACACGATGGGCAGCACCTGAATCATTGAAAGACTTTGTGTACACAAAAGCTTCTGATATGTGGATGGTGGGCCATTTGATCAATGAAGTGTTCACACATGGATCATTGCCTTACGAACATTTGGCTTTAAATTCTAATGAGCAAGTTGTCAAGCATGTGAGTAGCTGATAATACTGAAACACTACAATTGATCTTTTAACAGGTCCATTATTATTTGCAACTGATAATATTATATTTAGTTCATTTCATTATTTTTACGGTCGTTAAGAAAAGTTTTCAACCCTATACCTGTGAATCCCAAATGATGCACACACTTTCAGATCACTGGAGGCAAAGGCTTTATTACAAGGGAGCCTTGTGTACCTGCACCGCTGCACAAACATGTCATAGCTGCTTGTAACTCCTATCACATAGAAGATCGTCCAACTGTTGGAGACGTTTTGAAATTGCTACAACAGCGTATGTTTGCTTTTTTTTTTACTTTTTGAATTGTTTTTGTCTTCCAACAAACTCACTTGTTATAATTTTATTGTTGTGTTGTTTTTTTTTGTGTAAAGGATAAGGATATATTTTTTGGTAGAAATAACTTTTGATTTTTTTTTTGGTTGTAGTTCTAGGATTTTGATGAAACATCGTGGCTATGATCAAAACAGTATTCTCCAGAGCCACCTCCACATGGTGGGCTAAATATTTTATGGACAATGAATAAAGGGGAAGATTTCTTGAGTATTCATAGGGTGAAGCCACATTGCCTTACAAAGATTAGCTTAATTTTTTTAAAGTCCTCTTTATGGCATGTGGTTCTCAAAATGTCAATGCTGAATATACAAAATAATTTTTCTTTTGGAATCATGCTAATTGTGGATTTAAAAAAAAAAAAAAAAAAGATAAAAAGCTGAAGATTGTTATAAGAAATGGGTGTCCTTACGTCTTCGCAGGGTGATGGATTAGCTAGTGACACTTTATCCAAAGGCTTACCACGCTCATACTGGAATGGCAGTCTCGATAATTGTGGAATTAAAAAAAAAAAAAAAAAGATAAAAAGCTGAAGATTGTTATAAGAAATGGGTGTCCTTACGTCTTCGCAGGGTGATGGATTAGCTAGTGACACTTTATCCAAAGGCTTACCAGGCTCATACTGGAATGGCAGTCTCGTCTGCATTTCTTCCAGTAGATCCTTGGCTCCTGTATAAATTATGCCTTCCATAACGCTCTTTTAGTTGCCTGTTATACTCCTTCGTACACTGCTGTTTGATAGCTGGAACAATGCACATTGATGATCTCCCATTCTTTGATTTCTATGTATTTATATATGTAATTTTTATTAGCATTAGGCTGTGCCGACATGGAAGTGGCTGACTTTTCATACATAGATGACAACTTTAAACCATCAGCTGGCCATGAAAAGGTTTGTATTGGGTAGATAGGAGATACAACACAAAATAAAAGGATCTTGTTCCTATTATATCATACACATGATTGTATCAAAGCTACACTCGTTAGTTTAAAGTCAACCAGAACAGTTTTAGTTTAGCCATAAAGTCATTGACTTTTTAAAAAAAAAAAAAAAATTATTAAAAAAATTATAAGAATTTTATCAAATAAGACTTGAAAAAAAGATCTATCAATTTCTAATGATGTGAAGTCATGTTTTACAGCATCTTAACATGCCAGTTGAAGCTAATTCACACCAGCTTTTTATGACTATATACTCTGTGTTCCTAAGCTCAGTTTCACATTCTTAGACTAAATAACCAAGAGGCTATCCATAAATAATGTAACCATCGAATCACCAAAAAAAACAACCCTATAGAATAATCAAAGGTTACAAAATGGCCTCTCTCAATTAAAAATAATATTTAAATGATACATTGTTTCAAATTGCTTTCAGCAATCGTACTCGATTAATGTGACTATACCATTTGATGTTGTAGTAAGGGAACAAAAATTATTGGGATTCATGACAATGTAACATCACATTTCTCAAATCACACTCATCTCCCTCATCATAAAGTTCTGATGCATATCCTCCTGTTAGGTGCAGGACATAGTTTACAATCGACCTAGTTTATAGTTTACGGCTGGCTAATAAACAAATATTTTGCTGCTTGATTTACTAAGAACTAATATCATGTAATATGCAAAAAGTAATAAAATCTATAACAATTTTTTTCCTCTTAGGGTGTTCCAGACACTATAAGTAGTAAGTTTAAAAAAAAAAAAGTATTTATTTGATAAATTAGTTATTATCAAGGTGCTATTTTTAACTTGTTCTTTAACATAGACTTAAAAAATGTATGGTACCAGGTAGCTGTATAGAAATTTTGCATGTAGAATAAATTTTCGTAAGCAAATTATCTTTGGACCTTTAAGCTGTGGCTACATAGTTTTTGCAATAAACTTAAAATATTTATTTTAGCTCCACAGTTTATTGAAGACAAGGATGAAATGTTGGACTATGAAACTGTGGCTTTGTCAGATGTCTCAATAAAACTAAAACATGTAAGTGTAAGCAACTGATGATGTTAATTGATTAATTTATAAAATAAAAAAAATGTTATTTAGAATTTATTTGTCAAGAATTAATTTAATTTTGCCTTAAGGAACACTCTCTGTGACAGCATGACTGACGATTATGGTGGTGAGTGAAGTTAGGGACCTGATTGGCCTGTATTGTTGTTATGTGGTATGACTGGACGTCATGAGTTGTTTTTATTCATGAAGGTTTTAAACTTAAATGCGTGGGAAAGTGGAATGAGTTATCATGAATGTAGAGGTTTAAAAAGGGTGTATAATGTAGAGTAAAGTCAGTTGTTACACCGAACACAGAGGAGTGTGAGTCATTCATTTCTATTACACTCTCCACCCCACAAATCAAAATATTTTTTTCTAAGACCGGCTTTTTTTAAGAAAATCTTTTATTCCTGCTTTAAATTTTTTTTTTTTGAAATGCTAAATCCAAAAGATTTTTCTGAAATGTAATTTTTTTTTTTTTACATAGTCTTCCTAACAAAATCTTTAGTTTGAGCAAATGATACCACAATTAATTGGGGATCTTTGATTATCTTCATTTTATCTTTATGAAAATCATAATTAGTAAATTAAAACTTACTTTCCTACCATTAGCCCGATAAAGGACACATATTTAGAACAAAGTTAGAGAGACGATTTACTCCAGAAATAATGGTCAGAATTGATGAGCTTGCTGATATACTTGGACACATCGAAATTCTTCAAAATCGAAATTTAGCTCATCATTATGTAAGTAAAAAATATTGTCTAACATTTAATGTTGCTATCATTGTATTTAACTATGATTTAATATTATAAAAATTGGAAAATTTGTGTACAGGCTGTAAAGTATGTGGGTTTTCTTTGTGAACACATTGTAATATTGTAACATATTGTAATTGTCTTATTATTGTGGACAGTTATTTATCAACATACTGTTAGGAGGCTCCCTCCATCACACACACATACTCGTTCTTTTGGAGAGATAATCTTAATCTTGTGATTTATCATGATTCTCAGCTGTCAAATGGCATTGGAAGTTGTGGGCTTGAACTAAATTCACATCCGCCATATTGGAACCCATGTATCCGCCATCTTATCCTCCATCTTGTACAATGGCCGAGATCGAGGCAGCAAACCAAAGACAAGTCGGCTACAGAGATTATGATTATCCATAAAATCTTGGAACTCAGTTCCAACAAATTCATTCTCTGTTCCAAATGAAAACTTGCACCCGCGAACATAACAGCTGTTCTTACCACACAGAGATAGACTCAGAAATCGAACAGCTATTCTGACCATACGATGATTTACTCAAGAACATTACAGCTATTCTGACCCCACAATTATTCACTCAAGAACCTTACAGCTTATCTTACCACACAATGTTTCACCCAAGAACGTAACAGCTGTCCTGACAACACAGTGACTCACCAAACCCTTTGCTGCTGACCAATTTTGGGGAATTCTCAAGGCCTTTCCAAAACAATATGTGCAATGCAGTCAAAACAAAATTCCATTTATTTGGATTAATAAAATCATCTTTTCTTTTCCTGTCAAACAATATATTTAATGCTGGCTCCTACATTATATAAGAATAATTTCAATAAGTATACTGTATGTCTTCACACAATAAGGATTATGGAATTATCTGCTTATCTCTAATTACAATCGTGATTGCACCATGCTTCTTCTGTACTCTCCTTCCAAGTCTCCCATTCTTCAAGATTCTCAAAATATCCTCCAATTACCCAGAATTTATATAGACCTATTCAAAGAAGATTTGATCATAATTAAATTTTCCATCTGATCTGGATACGCCTACTGAAAATTATGACTGTGTTAATTGTGTTAATTATTGTGGATATATTTTATTTGATGTAAGTTTTCTTCTTCTTTTTTTTTTTTTTTATTGTTTTATGCCATGCTTAATTATTTTTCAATCTTTTTTTTAATTCTGACTTTTGATGCATGTTAGTATTAATAGCAAGTAAAATCATTTCTGAAGCCATTGTCTTTAAATAACATTACTAGCATGTATTACGATTAAACTTCTGAAGTGCTTGTGAAGTGCAGCCTGAATTGAAAATGTGGGTAGTTTCATTGATCTATCTCACACAAAAAATTGTTATGTTTATATGTCTTATGTTACAGGCAAAGTGTGGAATCCAGGATATAAATATTTATTTTTAAAAAATTGAGTTTTACTGTGAATTTCTGATTAAAATTTTAATTAGTATTTCACTGTGTTTTCACTTAACAGGAGTTGACCATACCCAGTAGCAACAAAGGGAATCTGCTTGACTTGACCTTAAAGCGTTCTCTTGGGGACAAACTGGAGCCTTACCTTGAGTGCCTTATACAAGTTGGAAAGACACTGCAAAAGTTGTGGGGCAAGTCTTGGATTATAGGAGACTTCTGTGGGTCAGATGTATATGTGGATCAGGAGAATGGCACTTACAAGGTGACAAACTTGTATAAATTTAGTGATAATTAGTGAATTAAGTATGCAGATCATTTCAAGGCCGACATTTTATTGTTTTTTTTTTCCTTATTTCAAGGTTTATGTGGTTTCACTGTCTCATTTGAATCTCTTAAATACTGATGTTTTGGCTAAAGAGAATGTTCTAGAAGATGCTCAAGAAGTCTTCAGGTAAATTTGACCAAACTCTAAGAGGTTTTATTTTTCTTTTTTGAACTGTAGCCCCAGAACCTAACTGTAATTAAAGTTAAGGTAGATTTTTCTTAAACACAAAAAAAAAAAAAAAATCTCACTCTCTCTAACTGTCATATGTTGTCTGTCTGACTGATTCTTTCGGTCAGGTCTGGAAGTAACTGTATATTTTGTTTCATAGAATCAATTCTATTTTCAAACTTTGTAAACAAGACAAATTGGGGAATAAATAGAGCAATCATTTTAATAAATGTTTTGCAGTTTTTCTTTGTTTTTCTAAAGCTGGCTGTCCATTTTTATCATAAAATGAAAATACCAAAACTTGTTAGCTGTTATTTATTAAAATTTTATACATATTCTAGTTTCTACATTTTTATCAGGGCAGCTCCAGAAGTCCTTAAGCACTCCATGTTTTCCCGGGCCAGTGATACTTACTGCTTGGGACATTTAATTTGGGAAACTCTAACTGCCTTTGACAATCCCAAAATGAAAAAAGATGACTTTAAAGAGAAGTTGCAATTTGATGGATTTAAATCTGTAAGAAACATTATGGTCTTTTTTTTTTTTTTTTTTTTTTTTTTTTTTTTTTTTTTTTTTTTTTAAAAGATCAAATTTTTATTTTTTTTTTTTTTTTTTTTTTTTTTTTTTTTTGTCTTTGTTTTTTTTTGTTACAAAAGAGCAAATGTTTATGTTTTTTTTTTCCAAACACTTTTAAAATTAGAAAAAAATTCCAAAATTGTATAAACAGCATAATTTTAACAGATCAATCACATGCGGCACTATTCATTACAAGGATTTGGAACCAACAATGTATTTCTCACATAAGGACATAAGTGTTCTCTCAGCAATCTGATTGTTGTATATTCTTACATGTTAGCTCTGCAAATGTTGATGCCTTTTCTAGCTTAATTACTTTGCCTACTTCCTTAATTTATAGTTTATAGCAATGGCCCTGCATTCCATTGAGAAGTGGGGATAATGTAAATGGATTTAACTTTTACTGTAACCAGTAAAAATAAACTTTGCAAGAAGCATGTGGATCAGACCAAACATTTTACAAATTTCAAAGAGGGGGGAGAGATAAATTATAATTATTTCAACTAAAAGAAAAATTCCTTAATTCTAGCTGTTCAGTCCTGCTTAAACTGATTCAAGAAATTGTTATTTCAAGCATCTGTACAATTATTTAACAAATAAAAAATAAAGTAATTAAAGTTATCAGAGATCAAATTTTAAAAAATCACAAATCTATTTCTGTAACATCATGCAGTTGTCACAAATTAAAGATGAAATACGGAGGAACAATGAGAACGAAGAAAAAGAGAAACTGGAAGTGCCAGATTACAACCAGTGGGTCCAAAAGTATTACAATGAGAAAGTACAAGAGAAACTGGAAGAGAGACTAACTAAGCCAAAATGCTGTTCAGAAGATTTCTACCTGTTTATCAAAGAATGCCTTCATGTCAAAGACTGTAACAGGCCAACCAAATCTCTGGTGGACAGACTAAATGGTAAAATTGATTTATTAAAAAAATTCCCATGATGTCACTCCTGCTCATGATAGAAGAATAATATGTAGCTTGTAGATTTGAGACATTATTTTTATTATTTCTTTATTCTATCTTTTACCATCCATATATAGTTTCATTTATCTTTTTTTTTCCATTATAGAATTTGCTCGAAACATCTCAGATGAAATTTAAATGTATCACCAAACGCAAAGAAGAGAGACTGTTATGGATGTACATATTTGGACTTGTATAAAATTTTAAATATTTGTGTTTGCACTTCTTTGGCACTTGGATTACCAAGTTTTCTACAGTTAAATGTCTTACTTTCTAAGTGATTTGATATCTATAAACAAGCTTTATTTATTATCTTGTAAAGGGTTATATTTATTATAACTTTAAAAAAAATATTTTTTTTTACTTTTTATGTCTTCAAATTCAAACTTTACATGTTAACCATCTATCTCTTTGTTACTATAGAGGATTTCATGTAATGTAATCACTTATGGTGAACTTCTTTTACAGTTTTACTTTTAATTTTTTAAAACAGAACAATATTATTAACATAGCATTCTTTGTTCAACTGTATCTTTCTGATTTTTATAAAAATCCTTTACTTAAAAAACAGTGCAATTTACTTTTACAATCTTAAACTGCATCTTTGTGTGTACTTTATCTCTTAATATAATGTGTTTGCTAATGGTTATTTTACACAGGAACATTTTTAAATCTGTGATCTTAACAACATTTTAAAGTGTAATTACTTTAAATTCTTAATAATAGTGAAATAATTATTGATTTACAACATTGTGTACTCCCTCTAGCCTTTTATTATCATTGATGGTTAGCATGAATTGAATGTTGTTACACTGTATCGATTAAAATGTTTCATGTTCATCCTTTTTGTTGACAATTATAATATAACCCAACCAATTGTTAGCACACTTTGAAATGATAAGGATGAGGACTGCCAAAAAAAGTTGTATGACAACACTTTTATGTGGTAGACTGCGAATAAGCGAGGAAAAAAAAAAAGGCTGTGCCTTATAATTCTAATTGTGATATTGTATTTCTCAAATGTCTATTGTGTGCATGTTGGGGTGTCCCAAAATGATAGTTTAAATGATATTTTTAAAAAAAATACGGATGTGACTGAATTGGTTTTTTGTGTGTTTTTTTTAGAAGCTCAAACAATTGCAAATTTTTTTTTTTTAAATGTCATCACATAAACTATGAAATAATTTCAGAAAATGTGTTTATACTGAATTGATGTTTTTATTCAGTCTTGCGAAATAAGTTAAGGTTTGACATATTTGCACTGTATCCACACTCTGTACATTTTTAGTTGGCGACCTCTGTTAACCTGGAGCCTCCTGTCAACAAGCGTTTCTTTTTCTTTTAATCCTGCCAGCTCAAACATTTGTTTCAGTTCATCTATTTCAAAGGCGGGGGGGGGGGGGAAGTAATATTAATTTCCCCATTTAAAACGTGAGAACTATTACATTACAGGATTGCTTTGTCATCTTTGCACAGCCTTTTTATCATGTTTGCAAATGCTATACATAAATTATGAAATAATATATTTTTTACAAGAAATTTTGGTTTTTAACCAATAAAAAGGTAATGTTTCATTCTACCATTGATTTACATATGAAGTTTACTTATTGAACATTTCCTATGCTGAATTCAAAGCTGAATTTTGAGTAAATTTGGGAGTGGTAAAAAATATGGCAAAATTCAGGTGACTCCAAAAGACAAAATAAATAGTCTATTTTCTTGAAAGTCTGTTTACAAATGTGCTGATAGTGAAATATTTTTACCAGCTTACATTTTATACCCATGATTGGATTGATACTCGGCAGGCTTTTTACAGGTATTTGCATAAAATATAAAGGCACCCATGTAAGTTGCTTAAGTTTTGCAATAATTTGACATATTTCACAAGGAGTTAAGATAATTAAGTATTCTATTTATGGTCAATTTGCTATGCATCTGAGATAGACAACCACTGATAACTCACCTTGAGTGAAAAAGTAGACTCTGGTCCCATCTCCCCTAACATAAAAATTTTCTGATAGGCAGCGTCCTGAAAAGATTGAAAATTTATATTTACGAACATGGTTGATGTTTAAGAGTTATTATTTTAAATTAAAAGAATTTTCACTACTAAAATGCAGCATGTAAAGTAATACATTTTTATATTTTCATGTTGAATTTGAATGCTTTAATTTTGTTTTTACAAAAATAATGTGAAAATTTTAAAATTAAAAAGCTAAGTACCATACTGGACTAATCTAATTCCTTAAAACAATTTTTTTTTATATTCAAATGTGAGTTTTTTAAATATTTTTTTAATTATGATAAATCATACCTTCTTTGAATCGAAGTTGTGCCATATCGTATCGACCATAGTCTCTAAACAAAAATGTTCCACCAGGTTTAAGAAATGAAGAAAGACGATTCACTGCTGCCTGCATCCTTAAATTTCAATAGGCAAAGGGTAGCATATGACCAGTATTGCATATTTGTTATTACTTTGTATTAATTAATATTAATTTCAAAGTAATGCTTTTTGCATTATTAATTTAACTATAGAAAATATAGTCTTTGTGTGTGTTTAATAATGTTAACAAATTTTTGTAATGGTCATTATTAAGAATAAGAGCATAACATTCTTAAATTTGTTATTGAAATTTATGGAACCATTCCAGATGAACATACTTTTCAGGAGCAACAGCTGATAGAACAAAAATCATGATAATCACATTTAAGCTCCCCACTTCAACAGGGATGTCTGCTTGCTCATCTGTTATATCATGAACAAAGGCGTGACACCTGTCTTTGTCATAATCTGGATTTGTCTGTTAAAAATGCATAAGGATGAAATGCTTTCTTAAGAAGAGATTGTAACTAAGTAACACTTGAATAAACATATTTTTTAGCATAGAGTATAAAGAAGACTTGCTGTTTCTTAATTTTTCGAATACCGTGACATCACAAAAAACTTAATTATCAAATAAACATATAATTTTTTTACCTTAACAATGTCAATAGCAGTAGATGAAAAATCACAGCAGTATATTTTCAGATAAGGATTTCTTGGGAAGAAAAGAAAGAAAAATATTTATTTGGATGATAAATTTAAAAAAAAACAGTACAAAAATTGTTATCATGCCTAGAATCATTACCAATACCACAGATCTTTAAAGAAATGATTATAAAATATACAAATCTAAATTTTTTTACTCAGTCTGCGTAAAAAAAAAATAATGTAACATTTACAAGAAACAAATCACAAAACCTTTAGATTTCATTGAAGAGCAAAAACCATAAGAATAAAAACCCTTACTTATTGGTTTTCAATACTGGAAACACTGTATTACCAACACCACATCCAACCTACAACAAAAGAAATTTGTTTCTGAAAAGCTTGGTTTACAAATAAGACAACACTAAACAGGAGGTGCCTATTGTTAGGCAAGTGGGGCATTTGTGCCACATGGTGCAAGTCACAAGATGTCTGCTAAAATTTTAAAAAATTATAAACTACGCCAGACCTGATAAACTTTTTCCTATTGATTAAAAAAATAATTTTTAAAAAAAAATGTTTTTCTAGTTTTACCAAAAACGATTAAGAGACAAGTATTCTGATTGCTGCATTATCATGTTATTACATTAACTCCCAACAAAGTTTTATAAAAAAAATATCTTACCTCTAATAATGCAAATTTTGGCCATTGATCACTTGAAACCTGCATTTTTTCAAAGTTGTTTGGTAGTTGAGAACTATCAGAAGAATAGGCACTGGTCAGGTTAGATACTTTTTTATCTCCAGTATGAACATATTCTTGACCTGTTTTTGATTCTGTATTTTCTAGTAAAGCATTTTCACTCTTGAGAGATCTGTTAGAATTTATGAAATGCTTTTCTCCACCATAGAGTTCAGGGAATTCTGTAAATAACCAATGTCGATCCTTAAAAAAGTGGTTTGAGTGAATGGAATAAAACTGATCCCAATGTTTTGCAGCTTCTCGTTCCAGTTGATCTGTGGAGAGAAAGGTAAAAAAAGATTTCTGCTTTAAAGGATAATAACATGAACAGAACTTTCACATGATATCATGGAATTCATACACTTGTATTCCTTCCTAATTCTAGTCATAATCAAATGCTTTCTAATTCTTCTTCTTCTATATATTAAGAGCCCATGATCAATGTATTGATCATTCTGGCTCCTATGTATGTAGAGGGGATTCACATTGTTTCTGTGCCTTGAATTTAAGAGGATATTTCACTGGGCTACACAGCCAGGGTATCAGGAACTAGGGGTTGGAAGGTCTGAGGCAATAGATGCAAATGTCTCTGGTGTTGTCGCTTCAACTGTTCCTTTTGGAAGCTTGTTCCGTTCCCTTATTGTCTTTGGTAGGAAAGAGCAGTTCATGTACTGTGTTCTTGCTGTTATGAGCCAGAACTGCCTGGTCACTGTCTGGAGGGGGGGGGGGACGGACAAGTTTCTGTGTAATGCTGGAGCAGTGGTTCCGCCCATTTTTTTATCTTGTACATCATGGAGAGTCTGGATAGTCGTTCCTCCAATGGTGACCAGCCCAGTGTTTCCAGCATGTACTAGAGGTTTCCTGTAGTGGCTCAGAACAAAGCATTCTGGCTCAAGCATATGGCCATGCAGTTCATAATGGTGGTGTAGAGGGGTACAGCTTCTAGAAATTGACAGTGTTTGGCACTTGGCAGGATGAAATTCCTTGTCCCAGCTCATCTCCCACTAAGCTAACCAATAGAGATCCTGTTGTAGCTGGTCCTGATCAGAACTGTTGGCGATCGTCCCAAACACTGCCATGTCATCTGCAAATAGTCTTACTTGGGAGGTCAGTTTCTCGGGTAGGTCATTGATGTATGCTAGGAACAAACAGGGGCCTAGCACAGAGCCCTGACTTAACACCGGCAAAAGAGGAACTTGTACCGTCCACCACTACTGCTTGGCATCGGTTGCTGAGAAAGCTAGAGATCCATGTTTTAGTAGTGCCTTTGATCCCATATCTCTGAAGTTTGTGTAAAAGCAAAGTATGATTTACACTGCCAAATGCCTTTGAGAAGTCTATCAGCAGCACGTCAGTTTGATTGCTATCCTCCAGATTGGTCATCAAGTCTTCTACAAATTCTATAGCAGTTTAAACCTAGCGCTATTTTGATTTAACATGCAAAAATGCAATTATTTTCATCATAAATAATTTAATTATCTTGTTATCATTTTTCAATTTTATATAGTAAATTTGAATATTAGAGCTTATTCAAATTTTAATTAAATGATTTGAAAAGAAATTAAGTCAGGGTCATAAGTTATATGCGGTAAGCATCAAAATTGTTATGCTATACCTTTTTTTTCTTGGGAAACGGCATGGTTTGCATGATTTACTGCAATCTTTTTAGCTTCAGCTTCTTGCTCTTCATCCCAGACAACATTGTCCCTATAAGGGATATTTAAAAGCACTCTATGACATATATTTATATATATTTTATGACAGGAGTCTATAGTTGTGTTTGCGGTGTGTATAAAATGCTAATATGTAAAAAGACAAACAAATTTCTGGATAATTAAGGCCTAAAAAAATTATGTTTATTTACTTAAATTTATACTCACCACGCATTGTGCTTGAAAACATTCTGTGGATCTGTCAGGAAGCGAGTTCCAAACTTGCTACGCTTTTCATCTTCTGTATAGGAGTCAGTTCCTGCCATTGATTGAATCTTTCTTTCTTCTAATGAATAATTTAGTCTTAATAATAATAGCAATGAATGTAGGCAGGCATAATATAACATACACACCACACTTATTAGTTACAACCCTGAAAAGAATAACAGTTTTAATTTGATCAATCTGTTCAAATAGTGTGCTATCTTAAAGTTAGATGAAATTAGTTTAAAAATATTTAGAGATAACACCTAATATGGTTCATAATATAGATCTATGCTTTTGATCATACAAGTAACAAAAATATCCTAATTGAACTATGATTAGGCCTAAATCATGATGTCCAATTACCAGTGGTACTTACTATTGTTAGGTAATATAATACTTTTATTACTAAATAAATAGGACTAGTCAGTAGACATACTGTAACCGTCCTTAATGAATTAATGCATTAGAATTTTATATTTAAGATAATTTTTCCAAGATCTTTGGACAAATTTAAACTGGAGCATGGAGGATATGTTTCTACAAGAACTGATGGTAAGCCTTGTGAGCTAGTTTAATTTATGTTTTAAATCTTGTATAATTTATTTAGTTTTTAGGTGCTATCTATTAAATTTAAAAATCTATAAAACTTAGGCTTTGTTATTTCATATAAATTTTCCCTTTAAAAAAAAATCAAAAAGATGCCATCCACATGACCCTGAGAAAGAACATTGCAAAGATGCTGAGATGGAGAAGATTGACAGACATCACAATTTAATACTGACAATGATGAATGGATAAATTCCTTTCTGACCAACCAGTAGATAAAGATGACGTGAGTGACAATATCTAATTGTGCCGATAATTTCATTTTAGTAACATTTTTAAAGATAATTAGATGCTGTACTGTACAATATTGTGTTTTCTAAATTTTATCAAGAATTATTTTTGGAAGATTATATCAAGTTGAATTAAGCTAGCATAATAATTGAGTTTACTATTTTGGGGTCTTGTACTTGTACATTCTCCAAACTAGTCACATTTTTTTAAAAGCATCCAATTATCTAAAAGTATGGGCAAATAAATTTTTCCCCATCCTACCCAACCAATCATTTTATTTATGTTTCAAAACAGTGACCATTTGGGTAGCTGACTGCATTTCCTCCTTGCCCAGTTTTTATTTTTGCCACTTTTATATTTTCTTATATAATGAGCAGAGTTATAATTATGCCAAAATAATTCAAGAAAATAATCATAAGTTTCTTTAGAATTCACCTAATAAAAGCCAAGCCCCCCAAGCCATTGCCATAAATTGGTTATTAATTAATGTAATGAGCCTCTGAGTATCAATCACAATTATCAATCAATCTGAATTCAATTAAATCAATTGGACATTGGGCATTGGGACCTGCTATGTTGAGTTCGTTAATGCTAGTTAGTTCATCCATCAAAAAATAAATGATCAATGTTTATCCCAACAACAACCCCCCCCCCCCCAAAAAAAAATAAAAAAAAATTAACAAACAATAACTACTATACAAACACAACAAAATTTTTTAAATTGTAAATTTAGCACGTAATAAAAAGTCAAGTTAAGGCTCATTTACCCTTAAAATAGGTTAAGAGAAAAAGCACCCCACAGAGAAAAAGCACCCCACTGGGCACAACTGGTTCAGGTAAATTGAACTAATTTTTTGCGTAAATTACTAAATAATAGTAAATAGTATGTTTAAACGACTCTTACTTAACATTAAAAAAACGTCTAGCCTGTAGTGTATGCAGGCATAATCCGCTAATGGCAATTGCTCATAAGAAATACAGAATCTTCTGTTGTGAAGTTTATAAAATCTCCAACAAGGAAAAGGAATTCTAATTTGCTGTGTTTATAAAAATTTAAGATTTTTTTTTTAATGTAAAGAAAGTGCAATTTTTTTCTCAAGCTTCGGTAATTTAGTTTTGAAAAGAACACCTCTGATTTGTTTGAGTAGATTATTGATGAGATAAGGAAAAGTACTTAAAATATCGACTGGTTTGAAGTTGAATGATGCTGCTCCTTTATTATACTTGATACTATTGACTACTAAACTAAGCTGATTCGCTGAATTGAGGCTGAAGAAAAGTGAAAAAGTGGTAACGTTTGTTTAAATTTTAATTTAGTAACGCCTTATAAAAGATCATTTTATTAAGGCTTAAGATTAGAATAAAAATAGATAAATATTGTTAATTAAGATTTGTTATTAAGATTAATTTTTTGGTAGGCCTAATTGTTGATATGATATGGTGATAAACCACTGGTGAGTCCTGACTGACTGTCCTGTTCCATGGCCCCCATGGACTTGGACAGGATTTGATGCTGGTCTTGCCTTGCCCTTTTTACTTAACCTAGCAGACTAGTCCAAATTCAGTTAGTTAGTAACTCACTGCTAAAGTTAAAGAGTTAAAGTTTAAAGTAAACTAATTATTTCCTTCTAAATTAGTAGGCGTATGCCTATGCCTATGCTATATATAAATATAAATAAGCATGCCCAATTTATACTACTAATACTAATAGTTAGTTATAAACTTCTACTCTACAATCTATAGTATAGACTATAGAAGTTATTAGGATAGCCTGAAATCATGTTAAGAAATCTCCCCATTAGAGGCTATACTATTGTTTAATTAGACTAGTCTCACTTAAACCTCAACAAAAAGAAAACTTGAAAAACATGCCTGCTACTGCTAATACTAAATACTAATTAGAATCCTGATGTCTGCTGGTATTGGTATAACTTATAGGAAAAAAAATGTGTTTTTGTGATCCACTACTAAATCAGTAAATACAAATATAATGAATATATTTGTATTTTCTTATTAATTTCATTTCAGGTGAAATGTTAATCCATTGTGAGTGAAATGATGCTCTGACAATAATGTCAAAAGGAGGAAGATTCTCCCGTCTTATCCCTAAGTTCTTGCGAGGTGAAGTTAAAGTTAAAGGTGTTAGCAGCTCAACAGAACACAAAGGCCCAGCTTGTTTAATAATCTTCTTAGATGACTCTGAGCAGAGGGCTACGTACAAGGTAACATTAAATAAGTAGAAGCAGAAGTGCATAGGACTGGAATGATGGGGCAGTGTGTCCATTTTTTCATATCCTTTTGCATGATAGTAATTAATATTTTAAATTAAGCATTAGCATCCTTAATTTAGATATTTTACACATTTGTTTTATCTGTTGAAGGCTTTTAACCGCAAAGTTAAGTTTTTTGTTTTATCATAGATAAAGCTACACACTACTTATTTGCACACACAATTTGTGTCTTAATCTATTTCAAAGCAGCATCCTGATTACCAAATATTTTAGTAAATTGTTAAGTACTTTCAATTTTTCCTTTCAATGAAATTTCAATTGTATATTTTTTCCTTTAAACAATATTACAATTCTAAGTGATCAATTGCATCTTAAAGTTAAACAGGATATATTTGTGTGATTGGAAAGTGAACTTGACATGGTTAACAAATTAAAACACTGCAATTTTAAAACATAATGAATATTGTTTTAACAGCAAATTTCTTATTAAAACTTACATTAAAAAGTTATAATTCTTATTCACTGGTTTACACTTTAGGCTAACTGGAAGGGTCAAACTCTATTTGATGTTGCTTGTCAAATGATTAACCTTCTTGAAAAAGACTACTTTGGACTTAGATTTGTTGATGACTCTGGCCAAACAGTAAGTTTACTACAGATTGAATAAGCATGTTTTTTTTTTCAAAAGAATATGAATATTGAAAATAGATTACTACCTGTATTATAGCTTGATTAACCCAAAAACTGTGGTCGGCCGATATTCTTGTTCTGTACTGTGGGGGCCGAAAAAATTGTTGATTAAAAACACGATCCGATATCAGCTTCCAATCCAATAATTAACGGGAATCATAATCACTTCCTTTTATTAATAATTAAGTCAACTTCCAGGTCAAGCTGTTTCTTGATAACTTAACAATATGTATTTTTAATTGGAATTTTATATCGCTGTTTTTTTTAAAAGCTAAAATGGATGATGCTATGGTGGGGCCGTCAGTGTGAGAACTAATAGAAATATTTTTGAAAGCTTTTTAGGAGAGGATTTAAGTGATACTGATGATGATTTTATCATTCCCTATGACAACTCAGTTCAGATTCTTCTTCTTGTGAATCTGATACTACTCAATACTAGTCTTAGTGATACTGAAGTAGGCCTACTGTTAGACTTCGAGCCAAGCCCGGAGGTTGGGCAAGGACTAACTGAATTTTAGTTACAGAAGCTACAGATCATAGATCAGAACCAAGAAATTTTATAGTTAAACAACTAAAATCAGTTCCACAGTTCCTTTTTAAATGTTTACTAGCCAATAATAACTATTTTGCCTAAGATTTTGTATGTTGTACTTGGTTTTAGCTGTGGTCCTAGTTTCTTTTTTTTTCAGTAATAAATATCCTAAAATTACTAAAATTGATTTCACAGGTTTAATTGTAATCAAAACCTTAGCACACTAAACAATTTCTGAAGATAAATGAATTGGCTACCACATTTGTAAAAGCATTTTAATGGAATCTATAAAATTAATGATTTATGAGCACTTGAAAGCAAGACATTTTGTCGATTTTTTTTTCTTGAGCACTCCAAGGTCAAGGACACTGAACAAATAATTTTTTTTATGGGTGGGCAATATAGCCAACTTGATCCCCATCCATTTACCTTTTTTAAAATATATACTTATTGGGGTCTTGTATCAATATTTTTATGTCATTTAATGCTATTTATAAAGGCACTCAAAAAGCCCTGAAAAGCTCCAACACTACAGAATGATCTATGCCACAGTTCGAGGGTTAAAATAATTCAATATAAATGTTTTTAAAGTTTTTAAACAGAGATAACCAGTTTAATATAAGTAAAATGATAGGGTAGTTCACTCAAGTCCTACTGTTGTTTGTGGTCACACTACATCACATTCATCATTCATCAATATAAGCAAAATGATAGGGTAGTTCACTTCAGTCTTACTGTTGTTTATGGTCACACTACATCACATTCACAATTCATTCAATTCACCCCAAGTTTTTATAGCGCTATCTTTTTGTTATCTCTGTTTCATTATTTTTTTTCCAGTGTAGTATTTGAAGAAATATTTTAAAAATGTTATCACTGTACCTAAATTTTGGTTTTAAGAAATATCTAAAGACCGATTTTAGAAATTCCCCACACATTACAACCATTTTTATGTCTAATTTTAGCACTGGCTTGATTTGAGCAAGTCCTTGTCATCTCAACTAAAAGGTGAGTTGACCCCTAATGTCCATATCCTTATTTTGTTTGTCAAATACTAATAACCTAGCTTTCCTGATGATTAATTAATTTTTAAGTGGAAAAAATGCTATTTTCAAATCAGGTAGGAATTAGGAAAGTTATTGAATGCTTTAGAAACTGAAAGTCAATCATCAGAGGTATTTATTTGAATAATAATGAAACAAATATAAAACCTTTATCTTTATCAGGATGTTCAGCACCACACAAGTTTTATTTTGGTGTCAAGTTCTATGCTGCTGACCCTTGTAAATTGCATGAGGAAATAACAAGGTTAGTCTAAACATATTTTAAATGGTGTTTAAGTTTACTTTTGTTGGAAGAAAAATCTTTTAAATGGTGTTTAAGTTTACTTTTGTTGGAAGAAAAATCTTTTAAATGGTGTTTAAGTTTACTTTTGTTGGAAGAAAAATCTTTTAAATGGTGTTTAAGTTCATTTTTCTTGGTAGAAAAATCATTGCAATGCCCATACATAATTTTTAATTATCTTTCACAGTTATTAAAATTGAAAAATGTACATGCTTGAAGCTTCAAGAAAATAACTAAACTCTGCAGTTGGGTTAAATTAGATATTAATATAGAGAACTTTTACTTCAAATATTGGTACCTGTAAACCATGTATCTGTACAAGGACCTATGAAGTTTTTGACTTATTATCCACACATATTTTTCAATCAGCAGTGTGTTGCAATGTGTTGTAATGTTATGTACTTATTTTTCCAGATACTTATTCTTTCTGCAAGTCAAAAGGGACATACTTCAAGGTCGTTTGCCTGTTTCCTTTGATGAGGTTGCTGAACTTTGTGCCTACTCTGTTCAATGTAAGTAAAACATTATGCAAATTAAGTCATTTCTTGTAATAAAATTATATTTATAGGGAGTTCTTGATCATGGCTCAGAGAGAAAAATAACTGAATATTTGCTCCAACATCTTTAACCCTTTAAATTAATTACTGACTTTTTTTCATGTTTCCATTACAAACAATATTAATTGATTTTCAAGGATCCTAGGTTTATATTTACTGTTTTGAACTATTCAAGAATAAAAATGATTTCCCCTTAGACAGTTGATGAAATAAATCTTTATCTTGGGACAATTGGATTCCACAAGTGAGGTACATTGCATACTAACAAATGGGCATGTGAAATCTACTAGTTTGGCTGTGAATGGGTTAATATTTTGATTTGTTTAATTTCTTTGTCTTTCTGTTTTATATCATGGTAAATTCATTGGTTAATTGTTAAATACTTTTTACTTTGACAGCTGAGCTTGGTGACTTTGATCCCAGGTCACACACTGTTGGATATGTGTCTGAGTTCAGTTTTGTGCCCAATCAAACAGAAGAGTTGGAGGCAAGAATAGCGAGTATACATCGGAGATGTGTGTAAGTGCTCTCCCTTAGCCAGACTTTTTAAAAAAAAACAAAAAAACCAAGAACAAATTTAGCAAAACTGATTCTTGACTCGTTTTTCAATGGTAGGATGGTGTAAGTGATGGTATTCCTGTAAGAGTTTATCCATTGCTTCTCAGTAGTATTTTCATTTCTGTATATATTATACCTTCATAATTACAGAGGGGCAACTCCTGTCATGGCAGAGCAGCGTTACCTTGAAAAGGTTAAATGGCTGGAAATGTATGGTGTTGACTTACATCCTGTACAGGTAACAAAGTAGATCTGAAATATTCCTTTGGACTGAAAAAATTTATGTAAGAAAAGAATTTTTAAAAACATGTCCTACAATTTCACTCAGACTTTTCTGCAGTAAAAGAAACAGCTCATAATATGTGATAGTTTTGTTTGATTTAAATAGGATACTTTTTTTTTTTTTTTTAACCTTCCTTTCTTCATATTTTTTATTTGCAGGGGGAGAGCAATGTAGAATACTTTCTAGGTCTAACACCAACAGGAGTTGTGGTTTATAAACAAAAGACCAAAGTTGCTAGTTATTTTTGGTAATTCTGCTATTTATCATAAAGCAGTATTTCAAGATTCTAACATGTTTTTGGGTGGCTCTAGTGTAATGTGTCAGAGCTCAGATCTTATAAGTCAAGTTGCATTAATAAATAATTGGTTCATGAAGAATCCACTATAAGAAATTATAAGGTATATTCAACAAAAATAAACTTTTAAATTTTGAATCTAAAAAAGGTGCATTTAAAGTTTTTGATCTTTTGACAGAGTATTGGTGATAAAAAAACCAGTAATTTTTTATTATTTTTTGGGGGAGAAAAACAATATCAATAAAGTGATGGAGACATTAAAAACAATTCATCATTGAAATATTGGTGGAAAAATTTTCATTTTTTAAAATAATTTTTAAAAATTCGTTCAAATTTACCTTGCACAAGTTAAACAGCCGTATGTTTTAACTTTCCAGGCCCCGGGTGACAAAAGCAAGTCATAAAGGGAAAATATTTACAATAAAAGTCAAGGATAAAAATGTAAGTTGATATATTGCAGAAGTCTCATTTAAAAAAAAATGAAATTTTGTTTTTAACTGAACATATTTTAAGTTGCAAAATTATTGTTTTACATTTTTTTATTCTGCATTGGCTAAGATCCAAGTGTGTTTGGTTTTTTGAAATTTTTGTTTTAAATTTTTGTTAACTTTGCATGGGCTTCAGAATTTGTTTCAATGCAAGTCTTGGGTGTAATTAAAATCTCATCTAGAACTGTCATCCAGGATATTAACTTCAAATAGATGGGAAGAAACAAAATCACTTGACCATGGCAAAGTGTTTTATGGCAATCTCTTTTTAAATTTTTTACTTGCTATTAAAATGTTAAAACCAACCAAGCAGACTTAAAAGACACTAAAGATTTTTTTTATGTAACATGTATACTTAAGCTTGATATAATTGACGGGATACAAGTAAAAATTTTTTTAAGGCTCTAAATTCATGTAAATGAAACAAGCAAATAAAATAAAAAACATGAAAAAAAGCTTAGCAGCAAAATGATAAAATAATTTACCCTTTTTAAAAATAGTATTAAAAAAATGTTGTCTTTACAAAATTTTAATTTTATTTTAATACTGTGCAGATTTGACTCAGTTGTATCTTTCTATTAGCATACATATACCATACCATAAACATACAGTCTCATCATGATTTACTCCTGTCCTAGAAAATTGTATCCCATAAAACTAACTTAACACTTATGTCTGTCTGTCAAAGTCACACACTGAAGTGGTTTGCTAATGCTACAGTTCTTTCAGTGTTCCTCATTTCTTCTGCTAGCTGTTTGTTTACTGCTTCTGTTCACACACTTGTGTGTGGCTTGAAATGAGCATGTTGTTTTTTGTTTCCTGTTGATCTCTTTTATAAACTGGCTTGAGTTCATTGCCTCTGCCTGTTGTGTTTAGAACGAAGAGCACGTTTATGCCTTTGAGTTGTCCACCAAGGCTGCATGCAAGCACTTGTGGAAATGTTGTGTAGAGCACCATGCATTTTTCAGGTAACTTTTACCAGACAGAAGTTTTTTTTAATATTTTTATTTACAATACAGTTGCTCCTGCTTTTTTATGTTTTTTTTAAGAAAGATTTGAACGATTTTTCTTTTAATTACACCTTTTTATTTCTCTCAAGTTGCCATTACAAGATCAGTTTCATAAATTTTACATTACTATGAAAATAACCAGGACGGTTAATTAAAAAAAAATAATACAGCAAAGGACTGGCAGATGAGTTGAAGGGGTTGATTTAATGAGTGATAGGTAGATATGACAAACAGCAGGTAGATGTGTACACAACAGGCAGCCAGTAACTGTTGCAGATAGGAGGCATATATAAAAGGTAGAAATTTTATAGGGGTAGATAAGACATCTAGCAGGAAGATATCACAAATAGCATGTAAAAATAACAAATAGGGTATAACATATTGCATGTAAACAGTGGGAGATCTCGGCGCCTAGCAGTCACAGAAACAAGATTGCGCCAACAGCCAAATGTTCAAAGGTCACAGAGTCGTAGAAAACCTCGGAGATCGAACTCAGACTCCAGACTTGCAGGTAAACACATAACCGTTTGCATTGGTAGGTCAAATTATTTGAAAAGAGGATTATTCAGGAATTGAATTTTTATCAAAAGAAAGAGTGGGCCATGAAATGTCATAATAGTTGTTAAATAATGTCTGCAAACTTTAACAAATGAAAATTACAATTTCCCTAAATTGTTTTTTTAAAAATAATTTTTTTGTAGCCTGAGGAATTCCTGTTTCAATATTTTAACATTAAATGTATAACATAGTATAAATCAATAACATTGGTAATTAACTGATGTCTATTAATGTAATTAATGTTTAGGATTGTCAATAATGTTGATTAATTAATATATTGTTAATGAAATTTAATGTTTGCTCCCCTTCTTTTTGTCTACTATGGATTCATTAGTAGAACAGATGTACAATGACCAGTATGCTCAAAAAAGTCGTGGCTTGGTGACCGTCATGGGTCAGCCTGAGCCAGTCAGGGCGTGAGTGTTTTTATATTGTTTTGTGCCTTTTTTTGTATTTTTTTTGTTATTTTGCATGAGAGGCATAAGTACATAACTATACACATTTTTATTTTATTTAAATTTTAAAAAAAAATTCTTTTTATTTAGTAAAGGATTACAAATTGCATTAGATATGAAGAGCATTTTTTAAAAATTCTATGAAATTGGACAACATATCAGCTACATTTAAATAATTAGAATAACATTAATAATGTATTCTGGCATTTTTTCTTTATTTTAAGGTACAATTTAAATTTTTAAAAACTCTTGATTAATTTTTAAAAATATTTATAAAAGTGTCACTAATTGCAAAATATGTAAAGAGCTTTTCAACCTCAATGATTTATAATATTCTTTAAATATGTGCAACTCATATGGCCTACATATATGTTGTTCTTTTTTTTAATTTGATAGGCCTCGACACAGATCACTTCCTGAATTGCAAGGGAGACAATCACCTAGAAGTGTCAAGTCTGCTCCATGGGAATCTAAATTAGATTAGTAAGTTGTCCAGTGGCTCTGAAGTTAATTACTGAAAACTGGGAGAATATATGTGCCAGTTTAACTTGCTTCCATTTTGAAATTCACCATAGTTGAACAAATAAACTGCTTGACAAGATATTATCATTTTGAAACAAAGTTTGTTAATTTACGATAAAACATATATTTTAATTTTATTTAAAATCATTTCTGTGGAGCTCTTCCTTGACCTAACTGGTATAGCTTTTTTAAGATCAAGCTTTCGTTGGTTCTGAAACTGTTGTCCTACAAAATTTATCACCCTTGATTGCAATGTGTCATTCCAGTGGACTCTACACCTCAGGCCATGACTCCCCATCTGGTTACGGTGAGAGAAAAGATGGCAAGCATCCAAGCTTTGTGTCAGGAAGTGACAGTGAAAGTGGCATCAGTCAGAGAAAAAGGTGTGTTGTGTCATTTTGAGACTGTTCCTGTTTTTAAACCCTTTTGTTTGGACGCCTGAGCTGTAAATATATCCTGATCATTGGCACATTGACCTTTCAAAAAAGGACACCAATAAACTTTACATGCACTGTAGATAACATAGGTCGCTTCCCTTTAATGGTATAATATATTTGTATGTGTAGAGAATTTTTTACAACCCTGCATTTTATTTTAAGATTTAGTTATTCTGTTGAAATAATAAAGTTCAGTCCCCCCCCCCCCCCCCCCCCCCCCAATGCTGGGTCAAGAAGGGGTACTGAGCAACAACAACAACAACAAAACTATAAATTCAGGGTTGCAAAAAGATACTCTTCAAAACCTGGAATAAGAAATAAAAATTTGAGTGGGTCTCAAAAAATTACAGGGCCACAAAAAAAAAGAAGGGAAACACTGATATAGTATATACATTGACTAAAGTGTCATGATATAGTTTTTGTTAATATAGCCCTCTCCATTATTTTCATAGATATTTCCCAAATCGTAAAGGATCTGATAATGAAAGTGATGCTTCAGCTACCAGGAGAAGAAGGTCAGTAATGCTCAGTTAATGCATAAAATAAAAATAAATTACTTTAGAGTAATCAATAGCTGCATTTAAGAAAATATAGACAACTAATTTATCCAGTTGACAGTTCTCTTTTGATGTATAGCCATAAACAATAGTAAGAAGAACCAGTGTTGTAACCAATTTTTTTTAAAATAATTTATTATTTTGCACGACAAATTTTATTTTTTTTTGCAGACGAGACGTGGACAGTGACAGTGGCTCAGAAGTCTCATTTCCCAACTCAGCCCAGAACTGGAAGAAGCGAAACACACAAAGTGAGAAGGGGACCATTCAAAGAAATGGCCACTTGTAAGTATACAGCCGGGGTTGTGTCTTGGACAATATTTTTTATGCCACGAGCCGCTACAGTCTGCGTGATTAGAAATTGTGGGGAGAAAAATACTACTAAAATATTTCATAGTTGAAGAAAATAGTATTGTACCTAGTGATTATTAATTTATTTTCATAATGTAGTCAGATCTTGGTTAGACAGTCCAGCATAATTGAATGAGTTTTTTTTTTCTTTTCTACTTTAAGTTTTTTGGCTAGAGCCGTAATTGATTCTGTTGACAATTTAATTATATACTATTAAATGTCAGGGGATAGTGGACAGAGATATTAGCTTCAAAACTTCTACAAAGATACATTAAATAAAGTAAATAATTGAAGCAATTTAAAAAAAAAATCTGGCTCAGTTTAAATTAAGTTTAAAATACTACTTTGCTTCAGATTTATGTTAGTAATGGGATATTTCTTAAATGTGGTGTATTTCAGATTATATCCTTTCCATGACAAAGAGAACATGTCCCACAGGTAATCACTATTCAATCTTTTACAGATTAATTTTAATAGCTTCCAGCAGCTTTTCAAATATGGATGACTTATTTCATCTGTAATAAATGTGCTGTACAATTTTTAAAAGTTTCAAACCCCCATGTTGCTGTTATTATTCAAGTGTCAAAGTTACATCTAATTATGCCCCTTGTTTCTTTTTTTTTCTGTAGCTCTATTCCATCCTTACATTCGGCACCAGCTGGTGAAACTAAACAAAGAAGAAGGCGAAGGTAATCCATCAAATAGTCAGGAGTTTTTAAAATACTTAGTAAAATTTGTGCCAACTTCCCAGACCAGAAGAGGATTTTAGTTTGCGTGAAGTGTTGATATCCTCTTTCTGTTGCATTGATGATGCAGATGAAGTTTTGTAGGATTTTTTATTAATACAAATTGATTAAAATAGTTTAAGCACTACAAACGTTTAAAAAGTAAACATTTGAAATACAGTTGTAAAATATGTTGAAGAAGAACATGAGTTAAAGCTTAGGACAAAGCCATTGATGCCCTTAGTAGTACCTGATTAGGGTGCTGGGTGGCCAAGCGGCCTAAACTAAGCTTGTGGCCTGGAGTTCAGTCCCCAGCAAAAACCTAGACAAGGAAAATTAACACCAGCATTTGGTGGATGGGACTCTTGGATGACTCATCTAAGAGAAGACAAACTCTGAAATCAAACCCGGAGATGGAGTCCCGTGGTAGGCTTTATGACCTTGACACATAAATATTCTGACAAGTCCTGTGATGTGGAACGCATAAAAAGCACAGTGAAACATAAAAAAAAGCACTGCTGGTCATTCACTGCATCCTGGTATATTTCAAATCATCTTGACCAAGTTTTGTCATTGGATTAAACAGGCAAGGATGAGAGAGTGAGACTTGGGAATAGAGCAACTCTCTGTCACTTTAAACAAAGTACAGCTCAAGTCAAGGATACTACTCAAGTCGAAGGAAAAAACAACAATAATGTAATACCTGCCTGAATGAAAGATTAGATATGTTATCCACTAGTGTTATCGTAACAGTTGGGATTAATCAACAACAAAGAGAGGTGTGTTATTTGTAAATATTCCAATTTTCTTTTTGTGTGTAAGATTGGAGTTTCTCTGTGTTTTTTTTTGTGTGTTAATTTTTCTGTTTGGTCAATAGCAAAGAAGGCTGCAACAATGAATTTATAACTACAACTCATTGGATATTTCTTTGAAATAATTTTGTTTTTTTCCCTTTAAAATTTTGTTTGGCAGAAGGAGTAAGTCACCAGGCAATCCTAAACGACCCCCTGAAGAACTTAAGCAGCATATTGAGTAAGTTACCATTGTCATACTGTTGGAATGGGCATCAAAATCAACTCGACCAGACCTTATTACTAAGCATCAATAAAATATCTTTACATACTCTGATCTTAAAACACATTCTGAAATTTAAAAAAAATAATAATTTAAAACCTCTTTGAACAGGTTTGACCTTGTTGATACAGAGGGCATGACAGAGGACCAGTTGAGAGACATTACATACACCAAAGTGGAGTAAGTGGATGCCATCTTTACACTAAAAAGAAAATGGTTTCCTAGTCATAGTTCTTTTATTGAAATAAGAAGTACTAAAGTTTGAATGAAATCTCAAGGAAGGTCAATCTTTCAGTTTTTAATTGCTTTTCTTTAAAAAAATTTAAAATAGATGAATAATTTATAAATAATAATAAAATACCAGGCATTAGCAGAAGTAACCTTTTTTTTTCTAATAATTTCAGGACCAAAGCTAATTTATTTAGGGTAAAATATTCACCAAAAGTCCGTCAAAAGATCTGGGCATCAAGAAGGAAAAGCTTTGGGTAAGACATGAAACTTTTGCAACCTGTTGTTGAATCATGACTTGTTAAGCTTTGGGTTAGACATGAAACAGTTGCAACCAGTTGTTGAATCATGACTTGTTCAGAGAAATGGAGTTAATTTTATCAACTGTATTCAGGATAATGAATTTAGAGTATCGTTATTGCTTCATACGTTGCATCTCATGTTTACTTGTTTACATCCATCTGTACAGAGACGCTGATAAGAACTCAGGTCAGACACAGAAAACAGGCAGCAGTTCTACACTGTCCAGACAAGACAGCTATTACACAGATCCATCAGGGAGATATGTACAGTAAGTAATGTTTCTTAATTGTTGTCCTTTTTTTCTTTTCTTTTTTTAACTGTTTGAGATTTTTAAAATGTTTTCTTCTAACATCAGAAGTCAAATAAAAGAATAGGACAGTTTTAATAAATGAAATTAATGTTTTAATATAGATCTAGCTTGTATTATGTTTTTAAACATACAAATTTAATTTCGTAACTGATGTATTTTGTATGATTTAATAAAACTCCTTCAGGTTTTTCTTTGTAATCAGCACCCTTCATTGATTTTTTTCACAGTGGGAGCAGGATTTCTGGAAGTCTAAGTCAAGGTCGCCTGGCAGGCGGCCAGGAAGCACCGCCACAGAGACCCCAGCCTATGGAAGTCCAACCCCCCCTGGAGACTATAACCCCAAGTCCACGCAGGGAACAGAACAGTGGCTACAATTCATCGAGGTCTTACTACAGCCCTGTGTACACGGATCACAGGGACGCTGGGCCCTCGTACAGGGGCGGTGATGGGGAGAAGAGAAACAACCGTACGCAGTCTGATTATGAACATTATCAGTCTGATGGCCACCAGCCTGATAGGTACAGGCAAAATCAAAACAACAGGAATAGGCTGAGCTACCACGAACAACCTCGAGCAACCAAGAGCGATTACAGTCGACAAGATGCGACCCAAGGGAACAAGAGATTCAGTCAGGATCCAACTAACCAGACTCAATCAGATTACAGCACACACAACATCAGCACACAGGAGAACAACAGGTACCAACAGAATGCTCCAGGTGACGGCAGGTATAGGCCAAATCCATCAGATGACAGTAGATACAGGCAGAAGGCACCAGATGAGGGTAGATATAGGCAAGGTAACCCTCATGATGACAGCAGGTATAGTCAAGGTAACCCTCATGATGACAGCAGGTATAGTCAAAATGATCCCAGCAGGCGTTTCCAAGCTGGGCAACCTCTACAGAGTACTGACCATATTGGTTTGGAAAAAGGACCTGCCACGTACAATGCATCCAACAGAGGCCCGTATGATTCTCCTGATAAATACAAAGTCTCCACTTTACCCCGAGCTCCCGTGCAACGGCCCCCTTCGTATCCTGTGAGAGACAACTCTTTCACAGCAGGCCCAAGAGACTCCCATTCTGCGAGGGACAACTCTTTCACCGCAGTATCACGGGACTCCCATCCTGCGAGGGACAACTCTTTTACTGCAGGATCACGGGACTCTCAAACTCACACGCCGTCCCCTAGATACAATGAAAGTGTGGCTGGTGGCTCCAGTGGGAATTCTACCCCTCCTAGAGGCAGTATGAGGTTGGTCAGCTGTGTTTAATTAGACAGTTAGTCTAAATTCCAAATACGGCAAATGAATTTTTTTTTGTTGAAAGATACACTTGACATCACAATTACTCAGTGTAAATTTTGGAACTTTTCTCTATGGCTTAAGTGCGTCTTGAAAGAAAATTTATTTCATTTTAAAAAAAATGTTCAGGAATCACTTTGGGTTATCAAAACAAAGCTGTGAAGATTTTTTTTATTATTGAACTACAAATTATTACAATGCACTGATTTAAAATTGTAAAGGTGACTAAAGTAATGTGAACATTGCTGCTAGTTTACATGGTCAGGCTTTCGTCAAGTATTACATAAGAATAATGATTGAAACTCTTTAAATGCATGGGTGCAATGTTTTTCAAAAATCTTTTTAAGAAAAAACATTTATTAAGATCAGGGCTCCCCTCCACCCAAAAAAAAAAAAATTAGCAGAAAGTACATTTTATGTCACATGATGTAACCAAATGTTTTAAAATTTCATGTTAACATTATTTGGTTTTTAGGCTCTCGTGTTTAATTAGGAAAAAAACTTACTTACGCACTGAGAGAGATAGAGCAACACTATGTGGACTTTTACTTCAAAACTACCGCTATAACAAAATATTTGTTATGTCTTTTTTTTTTTTATTAATTTTTTTTAATTTGCTAAAAATGTTGTGAGAAATAATCTTAATACAGATTTTATTGCCCCTGTTTTCTCAAATTTAATTTATTGATAACAAGAGTCTTTAGATGGCTTTTCTCCCTTAACTGGTCTTTCAGAAGACTGAGCGTTCTGTTCGGGATTCCATTTAGAAAATTCAAAATCTTTTTTTCTATTTCCAGACCAGGTAATGACACAAGGTCCACTCCGCCCAGATCTAACTCACACTATTTTGAGGACAGAGGACTGCCTCAAGTGTCTTACTCAGGACAGTCGGGCTCCAGCAGTGGCTATGGGGGCTCACAGAATAGACAGAGCGGTAGCAGCAATGCCTCGCCTCATGAACAGCACCGGCTACGAAGTCCTTACACCAATCAGGTAACTGCATTAGTTTGTATTATCAATCTCTTACACTTGATATCTTCCACTTCTACAGGATTTACTTTTTTTTTAAAAATAGGAATACTGCACAATCTTTAGGTATTAAGTACATTTTATTGAGTACAATCGTATACAAAAAGAGGCAGTCTATTTTAATGGCTGCCATCTTAAACAGTCATAAGCCATCTATTTACCTGATATTTTATCTTCTACTCAAGGAGAAATCATTATTTATCATTAATTTAAAATACACATGTAATTTGCTGTTATTTGTAGGCTCAGTTAGAGTAATGTAGAGGAGATGTTCTTATCTTTGTTTTCTTTATAATTTGAAACTGATGTTATCATTCGCTTGGTTACAGTATGGGGACAGGCAGTCGGGTCAACCAAACAGATATGGGCAAAGCCCACGGGGACCTGCAAGCATGGCTAACTCTGAACCCCCTGTGTCCAGGCAAGGTTATGCAAGGTCGCAACATCCATCCAACTATAGGTCAGACCTTGTCACGCAGCTCTGAATCAACAAGTGCGGGAAAAATAGAGCTGTGAGTTATGAGCTATTCACTGATATGACAAGCTGAAGGTCAGACCTAAACACAGTTGAAACTAGCTTTAGGCCAGACCTGGTTGCTGTATTAACAAGCTTTACAGTGATCACATTTGTTACAAGCTCATGGTCAGACCTGGTGCCTACTACAACAAGCTTAAGGTCAGACCTGGTTACAGTTGTAACAGCCTTGAGGTCAGGCATGGTCACAACTGTGATGGAATCCATTGACCAGGATTCTATAGAATTTTTAAGAAGCTGAACTGTTAATGAAAGCAATATCCTTGTTCACTGAATGTTGACATGCCCTGTGGTAAAGAATTCTCTCTGGCCAATGGAGTGACTAGATGTAGATCACGGCATAGGTATAGAAAACTTTGTTTCTTGATATTCTCTCCCTTCCAAATGCGGGGAAATTGTGATTACCGCTTTATATTGTGCTTCCAGAAAATATTATCTCCGCATGAGTTTGTGATGTATTTAAAAAGAAAATTTTATGACTGTCTAATTTTACTTGTAAATAATGTCAAACACAGATTTAGTTTTTTTATTTTAGCTTCTTATTTTTATTGTAAATGTGGGGAATTATTCCCCTTCCTTGTAATTGTTGATAGAGAGAGCTGTCTCCCTCTATTTAACACCCCATTCCACTATTTTAGTACAATTTTGACTGCTGATGTGATAAGACCTACCAAGCGGGGCTGTAGTTTGTGTACTTAATTTGATGTGTTATTTATACAGGTGATATGAAATCCACAGTTTGCGTTATGCCATTTTTAGACAAAGTCCCGTAGACGTGTGTTGGGAATAATATGTCAACTTATAATGGTTACTGTCAGAATCCAGGGTTTATTAATTAGCTCTCCGTGTTTTGATGAGCTTAAATCAATGTAATAAAATCTGATTTTTTAAAAATAATTCTTTAATATAAGTTAATTCACCATGGTTTCAGTGCTAGATACCCCAGGATTATTTTCATAAAGTTTTAACCATCCATATTTTATACCTACATGTGGCAAGTGACCCTCCCCTTCGGCACCTCCCCCTCGGCACCTCCCCCCAACTTGCAAACAACTCTTGATACTATTCAAACATTGACTTGACATGTTCAGAAGGTGGTATCTGTTCCACATTCTTCTGCAGGGGCCAAACTGGTTTAAAATTAGCTTTCAGTTTTTCCAACAAATTTATTTGGCTCATCCCATGTGGCAACTTATAAATGTTATTGCATAAAACTGCTGAGCTGTTAGTGTTCTGCAGGGTATTGTTTACTGTGAGTGTATGTGTCATGTCATCATCATAGACATACATATATGCATATATTTATATCATTTAATGTGAGCTTGTCACACTGTTTGTAAAATAATTTTTAAATAAAATTTATAATCAAATTACCTTTTAAATCAAATACTCTTTAAACCTGATATAGAGATATTGTGTTAAAAACTGATTTTTGCACCATTCTACCTGACTGCTGTTTTGTTTAGGGCTTAGTGATGCTGGCAAGCAAATTTTGTCCTCTGTCAGCTGCACATTGTAAAAGCATTTCGTTAAGAGGGAGGAAGAAGTTTGAATTTCAAATCATTTGATTCATGAAGTTGAACTATCTCTATTCTGTCATGGAAAACTAATTTTCAGTTACACAGAATTCAATTCTTGTACATTTGAAATATGTCTTAATATATTCAGATGCTTACGTAGACCACCTCAATGTACTGATATTTCCTCTAAGTCTGAAAGATTAAGTTTTTTTAAGAGAAATATTCCATTGCTTATAGAATAAAAGTCACATAAAATCTTAATTACCCTTTACAAGTCCTCAACTCACAAATTGTTAAAAGTCCCAAAGTGTTAAAATTTATTTACCATGTTTCCCATTAATATTTTACTCAAAATCAACTGTCTGCTAATATTTTTTTCTTCGTGAATTCATGCAGCCTGGCATTTCAAGTCTTTCCCCATAGATTTCAATCTGGATTTAAAGTTGTTTAGTGTCATAGATATACAGATCATGTTATAAATTGACAATTTTCATTAAATTTATTTGCTGGCATCTATTTATTTACTTTATTTACAGTTGTTGTCATATATATTCATATATATATTAACATTTCTGTCACTTACAACACCTTTTGAGTCCCATCTACTATTATACATTTGATTATGAACTGACTTTAAATATAATTGTTTACATGCAAACAATAAATGTATGAAGCCAACGACCATTTAAATAAAATGTATGTAAAGTATTATACCATGCATATAACTGCCTATTTAATCTCGAGGTGACCAATGTCTGGTCTGTCGTGTTTGCCAAATAGATATATTTTTTTTTAAACTGGTAGATATTACTCAGTAATTAATTCATGGTAAATCAAATACATTTGTTCAAAGGTTCTCAAATCCTGTCCACTTTTGACCTGCAGGAGCAACCCCAAAACTAACTTGATTATTAAACGATAAATCTATCAGCTTACTGTAGATCTTTAAAATGCATTGACCTTTTCTCCATCTCCACTCCTTGTAATCTTCATCATGTACTTTGCAGTTCATGTCCAATAAACTTTCTCTCAAGTCTTAAACTTTTCCTCCACTCGACCGCCTGTGTTGGTCTTCCATGATCTTAACTCCGTCCGGCAACTGTTTCATTCCAACAAAATCTACTTTGTAACCCCCCTCCCCCACACCACACTCACATTATTTCCCCCCTTTGGCATCTGTTTTGTTCTGTCTCCATTGTTACACTTAACCATTAAAAATTGTATCAAACATTTATATTATGTTTTGAGTTTTTTGTCCTGAATTTTGCCACCGTGATAATGCAGTTGTGTGGCCAGGGTTAATGCCACCTGGGGCGGGTCAAGCTTGTTGCCGCCCCTCCTCCCCCCCCCCTTTTCCACGAATAAAGCTCCCTAGGGGACTGAAAAGGCAGCCCCTCAAAATCAGGAAAAAATTGCCGCTTGGGGCAGACTGCCCCCCCTCCGCACATATCTTCTTACGCAACTGTGGCTACGTCTATGTTGATAACTAGACAAAGTTAGTCGGGCTGCAAACTCTTCAGAATCTCTTAGTCTCATGTATTACAATCACATTTGAAGTCACTAAAACTCTTAATCTGGCATACGCCATTCACAATTATAGTACTGAGATAACATAAATGTCACATTAAAATTGATAGCCACACTATCCAAATTACTGCCGCAGGACACTCAACATGCCACAACTGACAAAATCCATTAACTCAATGAAGAATTGGTAGAAATTATGTTTAATGAATTCTATGAAATATACAAATTAAACTAGACCTGGCTATAATTAAGGTAAAATGACAACACCTCTTGATGACAACACCCGAGTAACACCTCTGTTGACAACACCCGAGTAACACCTCTGTTGACAACACCCGAGTAACACCTCTGTTGACAACACCCGAGTAACACCTCTGTTGACAACACCCGAGTAACACCTCTGATGACAACACCTAAATAAATCCTCTGCCATAAGTGTTGTTGAATTCAACATTTATTCAGTGGATATTTATATACTTAGAGATCAACTCATCTGTTCAAGACATTAGATTATTTAATCTTCTAATTAAACTTACTGTCCAAAGGATCACCCCAGGCTTTGCTATTTAAACTATTACACCAAACGTTGTTTTCTTAAAAAGTCCAACCCTGTTCTTCGTAGCATTATGTTAGACCACAAATGTTGTATTTAGGAAGAGTCCAACCCCAGACATTCAGCAGCCAACACTTTGAAAAGCATGTAATTATTAGGTTCAAACAGTCATTGTTCATTGTAAATTTAGTTGACAGACCTGCAAACAGAACATGCAGTCATTTCAGATAAATAATCATTTTGCCAATCATTCATTCCAAATATCATGTCCATCAGAGGAACGGAGATGTTTGTAACACATTTTTACATATGAGAATAAATAAAAGCATTAAATTACTACAATATAAAAATTTTAATTAATAATAATATAAACAGCATTAATTATGCATATATATATTTCTACAATTATTGTTCAAAAAGTAAAAATATATATATTTTTTCATAACATGAAATGTCTATCCTCATTTTAGGTAAAATTTATAATTGAATCATCCTACTAGATCTAATTCAATGCTCCAAAAGTTAATTTTTCAAATTTTAATTTAAAAATATATAGAAGCTTTTTGTTCATTTTATTTCTCTTTATTTATTTGTAATCTGAATAAAGGCACATCATACAACTTTAACTTATTTGTTGTAGTTTACGAGCTTTTTACCCCGCTAAATCTCTTCCAAAGTTTTTTTTAAAAACAAAATGGCCAATTACGTGCAGTACTGCGTTTGTGCAAACCATCTCAGTCACGGGTGCCAAGGATATTCTCTTCTGTTAAATGAAATAATAAATTTAAGTAGTTGAAATCACACAAACACATCTGTATAAGCATTAATTTGATCTCTGCTCCAAATTTAATCCTGTTACCATAAAACACTGTTCCATGAACACTTGTAACATTAATTCATACTAGTCAAATAAATAAATCATGAAGTGAGATTCCAGGACTCTTAAAAAAAAAAAAAAAAAAAATTCCTTAATAGTGTACATTAAAAACACTGTTCCATGAACACTTGTAACATTAATTCATACTAGTCAAAAAAAAAAATCATGAAGTGAGATTCCAGGACTCTTAAAAAAAAAAAAAAAAAAAATTCCTTAATAGTGTACATTTCAGCATGTTCCACCATTGGGGAAAGGAAACTGCCTTCTTGATTAAAATTTTCACAGCTACATAGAAAACATAAGCAATTTTTTTTTTAAAGCTATAAATTGGGTCTTTTTGCACATTTTACAAAATATTAAATTAAATCGCATCTGTATATGTCACACAGTTGAAACAAACAATATTAGACTACATTGGAAGAGGTAAGTCCATTAAAAGATACCAGTATCTTTTTATTTTTAAAAAAAGGATATCAATTTTTTTTTTTAATAATTGGAATTACTTTCAATCTCAACTCAACATCTGCATCTTTTTAAACAAACTTCTTGAAGAGGAAATTATTGTCTTAAAAATATTAATTCTGGTCAAGACTTGCAATTTATTTCCAAAATAAAGTGAGGTTCACACAATGAAAATGTTCATCAAATCCTTTAAATTTCTATATTCTGTGACCATTATCATTGCTGATTCATCGGAGCTGGTCACTGGACATTTTTTATTCAATTTTTAATTAAAGAAATCTTTGGAACAGCTTGCATCCCTTTCTCACACCCCGAGTTTTTACGGGCCAAGTAAAAACCAGAAACATCCAATTAAAGTTGATTATGTTGGATCTATGGACAGTCTATCTTTAAATGGTAAACAGTTTAGAGGAGTGAAATTTATGAGGTTAAGCAAAGATGAAGAGTTTATCACATGAAAGGTCTGTATTATACTAATGTAGCATGCAATCAAAACAATGTAAAAGTTCGAGAAACTTGTTGAAGAGGCAGCGCCATTTTCTTTCTGAATGCTGTTCACAGCAGCTGAAAAGTAAATTGACCATTGTTACATTGAACTATATTTTGTTTAAAAAACATGACATTGCTTTAGAACTTATATGTAAACCCTCTGCTCTGGCCAGTATTACAACAAGCATTCCCCATTTAGATACCTGCCTATTATGCTAAAAACTTTCCTAGTTGCAAGAACTGCCACTAAACTCTAAAAGTTTCAAGTCAAATTCACTGCAAAGGCGCACTCCCTCTAGAACAGCTAGACTACAGGCACCGCAGCACTGAACTGGTAGCTACTTTTATTAATATATTTCTTCAAACAAAGACATATTCACCAGGTGACTATTGATCCGTGACACTAAATGCACACATTATCTTCTTATTTGACCTACCTGAAACCTGAGAATGGTTATCTTCAACAACAGAGCTGGTTATATTGGTATCTGAAACATAGAACATATTTTGGTAATATTGGTATCTGAAAAATGTCCTTCTGAATCAATGCTAAAGATAAAAGTTTACCATCTAAATAATAGTTTGATAGCTATCACTTGCCTCAGCTGAAATACTAAATGTAGGGTTAGTTATATAAAAGCTAAATTAAAACACTGGAGCAATACATAATCATATTCAATCTTGTATCAATTTGTCACTTAGATCAGCGCTTCCCAAATGGTGGTCCGAGGGACCCGGGTGCAAAAGGAAGCGCTGCGTGTCAGGGGCTTTTTTGACTAATTGTTATTCGGATGTCCTTTGTGGTTGTTTATTTTAGTTAAACTGAAGAAGTAAGTTTACAAACATATAGTCAATATAGTCCATTAAATTATCTTTCATTTTCATTTGATACCTCATTTTGTCTTATAAACAATATTTTTAATTGTTTTTTAATCCCAACCTCTCACTTCTGATACCCGGGTGCGAATAGTCTCAGCTTAAAATATAACACGAAACAAGGCCAAGCCAATTTAATAAACATGTTTTTTGGTAAAAGATCATGCTTAAATTGGCAAACACAATTAATCTGGAAAAATGGGAATGCCAAATAATACGTATAACGGACAATGGCGACTGAATTTTCTTGACCAAAGTGTGCCTTAGATAGTAAATCGACTCTTATCCGATTTGCTGATTTTTTTATTAAAACTATTTTATGACATATTTATGGTCAAATAAAAAACTCAACAATAATTAATAAATCTGGCATTGATGAAAAACAACAAAAATTGGGAAAAAAATATTTTTAAAAATAAATATATATACATAAAGGAAACTCCAATAAGAGACCATTAAATAAAAGACCAACACTAACTGTAAAGAAAAGACCAAAATTAAATAGAAGACGGACTTTCAATAAAAGACCATGAAATAAAAAACCAACATTAAATAAGGGACCAAATTTAAATAAACTACCAAAATTTAATAAAAGATCAAAATTAAATAAAAGACAAACTGTAAATAAAGGACATAAATGAAATAAAAGACCAACATGAAATAAAAGACCAACATGAAATAAAAGACCAACATGAAATAAAAGACTAACACGAAATAAAAGACCATTAAATAAAAGACCAACACTAACTGTAAAGAAAAGACCAAAATTAAATAAAAGACCAACACTAACTGTAAGGAAAAGACCAACATTAAATAAAAGACCAACATTAAATAAAAGACCAACATTAAACAAAAGACCAAACATTAAATAAAAGACCAAATTTAAATAAAAGAAAAACATGAAATAAAAAGCCCAACATTCAATAAACGACCAATATTAAAAAAAGGCCAACTTACTTGGAAGCACATAAATTCTGACCAGCCACAAATCATTGGATTTCCTACGACACAAATATTCGCCAGAGTCGGCAAGTTGAGATTTGTCAATCAATAGCTCGCTGTAATAGTTTCCATCCGACTCCATCTTGTACCTGGTCAGACAAGAATTAATTTTAAGTTTTTGAGAGCCAAACGCAATGAAAACATTCTGTTGGGGTTGGAGGATGGGGGGGGGGGCTAATCTAATAACCCTGTGAAGGTAGTGTATTGGTGTTATTCAAGTGGACCTGAGGATTTATATTCATAGTAACCACTATTATTTTCAATTAGTCTAAATTCGGCATGGTAGTAAAAGTAAGCTTTTTTTAAATTCACGCCAGGACAGAGTTGCCCAACTGTCCATATATTTTGAAATAAAAGTGGTAAAACTCAACTTGAGTTTACTTGAGGAAACCTTGAGAAATTGAGAACTTTCTTTTGAAACGA